TTTCTTTTTAACAAATGTATTTTTGCGTAGAATTCCTTTCTGCGTAGGCGGCCTTCGGCCGCACTTAGGGATTATAACCCTCAGGCAGTAGAATTTTCCCTTTTGTGTTGCCAAAGAAGGGGGGCTGAACACCTTTTGCAGAGAAGACCTTTCTGCGTAGGCGGCCTTCGGCCGCACTTACGGATTATAACCCTCAGGCAGTAGAATTTTCCCTTTTGTGTTGCCAAAGAAAAGGAGCTGAACACCTTTTGCAGAGAACACCTTTGTATATTTTTAATGCTTACGGGGTTATATCCTATCTTCTTTTGTCTCTCATTCTTTTGCATATTTTGGAGTTTGACAGTGTCCAGATTTGGCGATTTCGCGCCTTTAGCAATTTTTGGCGATTTTTTCCCTTCAAATAAATTTTTCTCAATTATAATAATATACAAAACTTAGTTTTCTACCATAATTTTACAGAAGAGGCTAGTGAACTGCGTGATAAACTTGACTTAAGAAGCATATTAAAAGACACAAAGCTGTTTAATCGAAGAACTTTTGAAACGATTACCTAGTCAATTAAATACTTTTAAAAAAGCTTTGATTTTGTCACCAGAAAAGTGTGTGAATCACAAGAGGGCGAGTTTCAGGGACCTGCCAATTCACTATTTAACTTTGAAGGAAAGAAAAGCAGCGGAAACTGAATATTTAAATCATTTATCTTTCCCATGGAATAACTTTTCTCAGAACCTTTCCATCCGACTCTGACTCCGCGTTTTTTCCGTAATGAATTCAACAAAAAATCGACTGCTGAGTGAAAGATCGACCTATCTTGGCAGCCAGCTCGAATATGCTCTATCTCAAAAAACTTTTCAAGAACGCCCTATTTCATATGTAAATTAAAGCAGATAGGCGTCCTGTGCAAAAGGTATTCAGCCCCTTTTCTTCGGCAACACAGAAAGCAAAATTCTACTTAGTCGGGGTAATAATCCCTAAGTGCGGCCGAAGGCTGCCTACGCAGAAAGGTGCTCTCTGCAAAAGGTGTTCAGCCCCTCTTCTTCGGCAACAGAAAAAGGAGTAGTGAGGGTTATAATCCTTTTTGAAAAAATCCAAATTTCCCCTATTTTCAAACAGCTCCTAAGTGTCTTTAGGGGCACTGACGGGGGTAGGGATGACTTTTCATAAAGCGTCGTCCATCCTCTTTCGTTTAAGGTGGGTTTTGGGGGGCCACGCCCCCTCCCCTCCGCCCCTCCCCAAAATCGTTGTACAAATAAGCAAACATTTCCGGGATATATAAAACACACCTTCACTATAAATTTTAAAGTGTTAGTACCAAAAACAACGGAGTGAGGCCACTTTTTAAAACGCCGTATACGTGTGCATAACGTGATTTTTGTTTTTCGCCGCTCCTGTAAAATAAAAATTTTTTGGTTAAGGCCTTTGTGAATTATGGATACCTTATACATATGTACCTTAAAGTTTTTAAACGAAATTGGGTAGCTTTTATTAATTTAACGAGGCTATGAAGCACTTCACTTTATTCCCCCACCAATAAACAAAATTTGAAAAGCGTGTGCTACAAACAGCTGTTATAAACAGTGTGACCGTGTGATGCATTTTATGCGAAATCGTAAGTCCACTCTCCCGAGTAAACTGTCAGAAAGTCCTTTTGTAGATTTGCAGAAATCACTTTCGGCAATAAAAATTGGAAGGTGTAACTGCAATTGAAATTACGCAAATCGCTTTCGGGAAATAATTTCAACTTCTCGTGCATTGTTAAATTACGATTTCACCATGATACAAAATACATATGGTTGTCGTTGTTGTAATCTAAGATCGCCAGTAACACCACCTTGTATAAATTCGCCTTGGGCAACTTCTTTTAGTGCTGTCGAAAGCGCTTTAAAGTCGGCAAATAGGTGATGAGTGTCGATCCTTTTCTCGCGGGTCTTTTCCAAGATTTGGCGTATTGTGAATACCTGGTCTATGGTGGATTTGCCAGGCCTAAAGCCACACTGATAAGGCCCAATCAGTTCATTGACGGTGGTCTTCAGTCTTTCACACAATACCCTCGATAAGAGCCTCCAATTAAAATGTTTTAAATTTTATAGATTTTATGACGTAAACCGTAGATCAATAAGAAGCAATTGATGAAAAATCAAATGTCGATTCTCTAATTTTTTGAATCGATTCAAGATTCGAATCGGAACTAAAAAATCGACAAAATAATCGACTCGGAATTGTTCGATTTAATCGATTTAAAAACGGCATTTCTAGTCTCTCAACGAAAGTAAACAATTCAACAAAAAGAACATTGAAGAAAATGGTTTTTCGGTAATTAGGTTAAATAAAAATCAGAATTTATAAGAATAACCATTTCATAAATACAATTCAAAATATGCCAACTTGGAATCAAATTCAGTCGCAACTGCGCAATCCCAATAACCCGGTAGTTTTCTTTGACGTATCTGTTGGAACGACGGTAAACTGTTAAACAAACTATTCAGCCAGGAACTTATGTACATATCTGATTGTTATTTAGGAAATCGGTCGAATGATCTTCGAGCTGTTTGCGGACACAGTCCCAAAAACTGCAGAAAATTTTCGTGAACTTTGCACTGGAGAATACCGTCCAGACGATGTGCCCATGGGATATAAGGGAGCTAGTTTTCATCGTGTCATTAAAGATTTCATGATTCAAGGTGGTGACTTTGTGCACGTAAGTAATTAACCAATATATGCATTTGTATATACGTACAGAGATGTGTTAGCAACAGCTTCTTTTCCTCAGGGTGATGGCACTGGTGTAATGAGCATATATGGTGGCACGTTTTCCGATGAAAATTTCACATTGAAACACGATTCACCAGGCCTTCTCTCAATGGCAAACAGTGGAAAAGATACAAATGGATGCCAGTTTTTCATAACTTGTGCAAAATGCAATTTTCTCGATGGCAAACATGTTGTTTTTGGTCGCGTTTTAGATGGCTTATTAATTATGAGAAAAATTGAAAACGTTCCCACTGGTCCAAACAATAAGCCCAAACTGCCAGTAACAATATCACAATGCGGACAAATGTAGAAAGTGTAGTATATTATACATAATATTAAAATTTTGATACATGATATCTGTAGTAAATCTTTGTTTCTTAAGTTGGCAAAATAAAATTTTACTAAAACACCTCTTGTTACAAAACAACATCTCATAATCACAAAATAGTTTAGGAAGAATTAGCCTATGTATGAACTCATTAGATGTGCTTGCCAAGCTTTCCACTTTCAAACTGCTGTTCCTTCCAAAGTGAGCGGCAGTCGTCAATTATAAAACTGCGTGTATGTGTAAAAAAATATAAAATACAAATTTAAGTATTGATTTGATTTGTATTTACTCATAAAACAGCGAGATGACAGGAACTGTAGCCAAATGCCATAAGGCGTGTGCGTCTATAAGCCACAAAATTGGTGGAAAGTCCAATAGCTCTAAACTCATAGACATGCCGAATAAAATATAGAAGCGGATAATTTTACGGTAATATGCACGCCGATGTCGTTCCAAATAACACCAAACAAACCATCCCAGTGCGGAGATTATACCTAGCAAAGCGAACAGATATATGTACATATGTATGTAATACAGCATAATCAATTATTTTTGTGCAGCCTTCAATTTAATTTGTTTTGTCATATTGTGGAAAAATTTGCTTACCAGTAACAATATTTGTCGTCATATTTAAAGAGTAACTAAATTTGCCTAAGCTCAGGTACGCAAAGTAATTTACAAAGAACGAGAGAAATATCAATGAAATTAAGCCTCGTAATATGAGCGACTGCCGGTATATCATCCTGAAATTGAAACGTACATATGTAAGTACATATATTTCGCCAAAATCCATTTTTACATGATAGTAAATGTAGGTATATCGTTTCCACCCACCGCATAACCATACAATAAAGTGACACGAGTACAACACTGTAAGCGAAAGCGTAATCCATTAACTCTGTCACAGGAAAATCTCTTGTGTGAAAAACTGTCGACCATATCCAACCATTAATACATACCTGTAAGATCGTATACAAATTATAATAATACTTATTAAACCGGAGAAATAATATACGTACATATGCTTGTAAGTACTTACAAATGAGAAAATATGCCACAACTTATAGCATGGACTATCCGGACGCACCTCAGTACGAAAGCGTCGTAGCATGCGAATGTGAACAACCAAATTACAAATAGAAAACAACACCGAGGCTGGTTCTTGAGTACCAAGAAAACGGAGGAATGGCCACTATGCACAATTTAAAATACAAATATGATTGCTTTATTAATATTAACTATAATTGGTTTACCTTTCCATAAAACTGTGGTACGTCCCAACCGCGTTCTGCAAACGCATCCACTGTGCGCCACATACAACCATATTGGCATTCATCCGCACAGTTCCAAGCAAACGCTTTGTCGAATATCGACTGTTGATAATATTTAACGGCCTGCTCCTGAATCTCTACGCCATCTAAATATAAATTCGCACTTTCTAACTTCTACGTTTCCATGTATATATGGACTTAATTTTGTCCAGTGTACTTTCAATTTACCTGCACTACAATTTTGCCGTTCACAGTTTTGTCTACAATTGTGAAAGAATTGTGTACGATCTCCAATAGAGCCGTGGCAACCTAATACAAAGAACGCAAGTACTAAAAAATATATATAAGGTAACACTGAACTAGACATGATAATAATTATTTTAACTATTTTCCAAAAAACTAAGCGGTACAACAAAGTGGTACGGTTTTAAGCATTATTCCACTCTTTTCCCAAACCTTTGTACCTTATCGATTTTCGTGCTGGTTGGGAATGAGTGAGGATAAAAAGCAGTAGCCCTGTTCGCGTACGTACTATCCAGTAAAATCAGGTACTAATTTTATTGGTTTTTACTGGATAGTATTTTCGTACGCAAACACTTGCAAGAAACCAGCAAAAGAGAGAGGAAAAATTACAGCTGAACTTGCAAGTTGAATTGGAGTTTTACTGGATACATTTTTACTAGTAACTATTTGTTAGTAAGAAAAACAGCTGATGGCATGAGGCTTAATGCAATTTACATTACCAAAAGAATTGTTTGTGGTGCTTTTAGAGTTGCAATTGACAAAATAAGCATATTTAAATATATAATAATATATATAATATTTTTCTTAGAAAATTGCGTCCGAAAATGACAAATTAATCAGCTGTCCATAAAACTTCCAACTTCTAGCTGGTTTTGCGTTTTCGTACCTTCTTGAATATTTCTCTCATTAGGGTAAATATTGGCTTGCTCTCCGAAATTTGGTTACTGGCAGGTTACTGGATATTTTTTGCTAGAGTATACGAAAACACAACTAGTGTTGCCGACATCTATTCGCTACCGGCTATAACTTTATTGTATAAAGATGTCTTAAAAATACTCATTAGAGAATGGATCATGAATTTCAATTGCCAGATATAGAAAAATTTCGTATGTAAACATTTGGTAAAATTTTTAATTAGTTAATTAATTTACAACACTGCTGAAATGGAAAAAGTTGAAAGTGAAATAAACAAAACGCATGTAGCCATATGTTTTTTGTTTTGATCGCAAAATTCGGGGTATATTGTGCAGGAAGTAGCTTAAATCGAAAATAGCCAAACGTTTATTGTCTGCTAATTTAATTTTTAAATATGAGCAAATCATTTGTAAGTTTTAGGTTTCAACTAAGGTACGTATCTAAATTCATACGGATTATTTTATTAATAATGTAACCGCTGGCATAGATTTCTACGCACGTACAATATCGAGAGGAATTTTAATAAGACCCGTCTTGTTCATTCTCGAGAAAATGTGAAGCACTACGGCGGTACAAGGGTCGTACATAGTCGATCTTACTTTGGACTTGGATTGTTGGGAATGTTAAGCAGTTTTATTGTATACGATGCAGTTGTTAATGAATTTATCTATAGTGGAGCTACCATTCGTTTTCTGCGCTCACTCAAAACTGCTTCGTTAATTGCAGCCGATTATATACTCCTTGAGCAACATGAGAACGACGCAGACTATGATTTGCAATTAAAGCATGTGCACTTAAAAAGCGCGAAACGCTTACTTGAGACATGCTTGCTAAATGGTGGTCTGTACATTAAAATGGGCCAAGGTGTTGCTGCTATTAACCATATACTACCAAAAGAATATACAAGTACATTGGAACAATTGCAAGACAAATGTTTACCTACGTCTAAAACTGATGTGCAGCGTGTTTTCTCCGAGGATTTTGGTACGATTCCGGAAAATGTTTACGCTGAATTCGATTATACTCCAGTAGCGGCTGCTAGTCTGGCGCAAGTATTCAAGGCAAAGTTAAAAACTGGCGAGGTTGCAGCTGTGAAGGTAGATGTATAAACAAGGAATATGTTCTGCGTACATACATATGTACATACATTTTTATTCCAGGTACAATATGGTGACTTGCAAAAACGTTTCACCAGTGATTTGGGAACCATTATGTTTCTCCAGGATGTTATTGAAGTATTTTTCAAAAATTATAATTTTGGTTGGATATTGCGCGACTTACGTAAAAATTTGGTACAAGAACTAAATTTTGTGAATGAAGGGCAGAACGCAGAACGTTGCGCCAAAGATCTCGAAAAATTCAATTATGTGCATATACCGCACATTTACTGGGAATTTACAAAACCGGTAAATAGCTGAAACATACATATTCAAAAATATTGAAATGCTTAATTAATTTCTATAGCGCGTGCTCACCATGGAATGGATTAACGGATTTAAAGTGAGTGATGTTGAAAGTATACAACGCGAGAATCTTGATTTAAAAGATGTAGATTCAAAACTATTCAACATGTTTGCTGAGCAAATATTTCATACAGGCTTTGTACATGCAGATCCACATCCGGGGAACGGTAAGTACATATTCTTAGAGAAACACCTTTAACTACATTTACATTCTACTGCTTTTACGAAAATTGTTCTTTTTAGTGTATGTACGTAAAAATCAAAAATCAGGACAAGCAGAATTAGTACTTTTAGATCACGGCCTTTACGAATTCGTACCAAAATCTGTGCGTTTACCTCTTTGTGAGTTCTGGGAGGCGACGGTGTTGCGAGACGAGCAGAAAATGCAATCGTCTGCTCAGAAAATGGGTATCCAAGATCACATGAAATTTGCCGAAGTGCTTTTTCAACAGCCAATTCGTATTCATGGTGGTCGTGTTAAGACGAAGTTAAGTGAAAGCGATATTGAATACATTCGACTGGTTGCTAAAAAAAATTTTGAGCTAATAATGGGTACACTCAAAGAGATGCCGCGTAACATGCTTTTTGTTGTGAGGTAATTATTTGTGCAATGGATTTTTATAATATAATTTATTGTAGATGTACGTACACGCTTACATGTTAATGCGTATGTTAATTACTTATACATTTTCTTTTAAAAGAAATCTAAACACAGTGCGCGCGATTAGCCGGCAGCATGGCGATGTAGTGGACAGACCTCGAACAATGGCTCGATATGCACAATATTGCATTTACGCCAAATGCAATTCACTTCACAGTTACATATTTTGGTTTTATAGGCGAATCATATTTGAATATAACTTATGGTAATTAAATTATCCTTTTTACACCGAACAAATATAATTAAATCATATATTTTAGGGCATCATCGTTTCGTGTATCGTGCCTCAATCTGTACCTCAATATCTTATACAAATTAAATAGGGCCCCTGGATCGGTACACACGTTACTTAGTGATATAGCAATAAAAGATTTTAATTGATAACATTTAGCCGAGAGTTAGAGTACATATATAAATTAAGTGCAATTTTATTAATTACTAAGCATTATTTTTGTCTACTAATGTTTGTACGTATTAAAAATATGCACAAAATACTACTAAAGAAATTATCAATATTTATCTTAATATATCGTCGTTTAAAGAACAAAACCGCGTACCAACAAAATGCAAAACCGCGTATGTGACGTTGCATAAATTATTTTCTAGAGAGTAAAAACACTCATATTTCAAAATCAAATCGCATTTTTGGCTAGTATATTTCCGGACGAATGGATAAGGATTTAGCCAAGAGCTTGTGTGAGCAAATCCAATTTTTGGCAGCAAAACGGTTTTGCAGAATGACGATACGCGGTTTGAACTTTAAACGACGATATGTATCTTTAAAGTATGAGTGGTATAGACCGTACCCCATCGACCTAACTAACCGAAACGACGAACCGACATTTCGTTCCCACGACAGTCGGGTCTACGTAACCGGAACGACCCAGATTTATATCTGGCCAAGGACTGTCACTCCAGCAACACTCCCCAAAAAGTCTTTGGGGAGTTTGTATGCTGTTACAACAACAACAACAACGAACCGACATTTCAGTAAGACTTATCAAAACTCTTTGGAGAATTTTTCTACTGTTATAAAATTTGGACATATCCGAGAAATAGTCAACCAAAATCGACAAATAAGACAAAACCCAAAACCATTGGACAAATAACCGAACCATATCCAACAAAAGACCGTTTGCTTGTTCAACTTTCGATTATAAGAACAAAATGCTTTGAATCAACAAAAAATCAATAATAAAATTTGAAGGTTTTTAGGTGTTGGATATGGTCATGATTCAATAATGAATCGTGGAATATGGTAGCATGAAATGTCACAATCTGCTTAATTGTCAGGTTGTTAATATTGCGACGAAAAAGTGACAATGGAACTACCTTCTTTTTTGTATCAAGGTACAGCATATATACTTATTTTCACATTTATTTGAGAAATCTAATTTGCCCCACTTACTTCTTGAAACTTCCATCATTTTGTTCTCATAACTACTGCTATAAACCATCCCTTGAATCATGGTTCTATGCTTCTTTTGCGCCACAAAAAGTGGTGCATATAAAGCCAATACTATCATCGTCGCCCAGATGTGTCCGTCGTGTTTTTGCTCCAATTTAAGGGGCATGTATAATTCCTCTCGCTAATAAATATGTATGTTTTTATCAAAAACAAAAACTATGGTGTGTTCACTTTTATTTCTAAGCTATAGGCAATTTAACCATTTAACCGTGGTTGCGCATATTGGATATTTCCATCAACTACAGTTTAGAAAAAAAGAGACTGATGCTTTGGCTTGATGCATTTCTGAACGAACCACTATCCTTGTGTTCCAAAAATCGGAAAGTGTAAATTATATCAAAATGATAAGTTGGACTATCATAGCTGGATGCAGCACATGCGATGTATTTACAAAAATAGGCTTTTAACGTTTTTTCCGAAACAGTAGTGCATACAATACGTTATCTACATTAGAGCACAGTATGATTTTTCAGTTTCTTCGGCTAGCTTACGCCCATCTAATTCCATCTGCTTTAGCTCCAGAAATGTATTCTCATTTTTCTTAGCTAACCATTCTGGTAAAGGTTTCGACCAATCTTCAGGAGGATGTGTTCGCTTTTTCCATGTCGTATTTCCATAGTGTGCCTCCATTCGTTTTCGCCGCCGTTCAGCTTCACTACGGATGACGGCTTCGCCGGCTGTTACATCATTCCCGTTGGATTTCATGTAACGTTCACAATTATTATAATCTGTTTTCCACTGGGAACAATCAATACTTTCACCATGAATGAAATATTGATGGAAGCGCGCTTTGATGCTGGTGCAATCATCATATTCATCGTTATACACCTCACATGGCCGAATCTGTATGGAGAATTATAAATGAAATTATCCACGAACGCAAGGAGTCTACTCACAGACCAGGCGTCTTTTAGGTTTTGAGCATCAGTGTCTCCTACATTTTTCGCGTCATTTTTCATTGACATTTTGTATCGTTATTTAATAACCAAGAAAAACTAGTAAATAAAAAAAGCCAAGAAAAACTAGTTATAAATAAAAACAACTGATTGACATTGGCTTCTTGCTTCTTCTTCCGTGCAAAAAACGCAATAGTTCAAGACCTATTTTGATAACTTTTTGGTCTGCACGAACACGATTTGAGCAAAAATCAAACATTTTGTGGCAAGAAAAAACTACAGTCAGTCCGTAAAGTTTAGCTTCAGCGAATTTTTTACAATACGGTGTACTATTTTTAAATATCTTATTTTCGATCATTTTTTATAAAAATATGGTTAATGCTACAATAAAAAGCCCCAAAATCAGATTTCCAAACCTTGTGCAAAATTAAAGAAAATTCGGCAAAATTTCATTCAAATATTGCACTTTTTATTTACGCTCTCTGGAAAAAAGTTGAGTATGCAGTTTTTTAGCCCTAAAGTACCTAAACTTTATTGGCTGACCGTAATTCTAAATAAAAAAAAGCTGATGGACATTGGCTTCATCTCTGTGCAAATTAACAAACTCAGCGCATCACTATTGTGATTTCTAATGCGCCTGAAAATATGCCACAAAAAATAGATTTTAAATTACCAATTAGATACTATTTATGTAATTTGATTCTAAAGAAAAATTAACTAAATCTTTAAACTGCATCTTCTATAACCAAAATCCGGCCGGATATTCGGATAGCAGAAAAACGGCCGGTTAAGCCATATTCCAGATCTACCAATCTACCAGATACCCGGCACATCTCTAATAAATATGTCTGATAACATAGCTAAAAGTGGACATGTCTGCATTCACCGTGTAAATGAAAACTGCTTTCGAAAGCCACTTTAAATGCAAGGTGTAGGGGTCTCGAGATTTTCCAGACAGTCGGTAACCTTTTTTAAAAACGACATTAGGTTTATCTGATCACACTGCCTGCGAGCACTTTGTCAATTAAACGAGAAAACATATGTTTTGAATTTATCATATATTTTTTTTATTGTTTTCATTTCATCGCACGAACTTGGAGAGGAAAAATAATTTTGAATAATAATCGATTGTAATTGTTTTGAATCCGCTGGACCAGGACCAGAGAGCATTGTTTGTTAGTATTGCTGTTTATTCATGTGGACAATGCTGAAAAACGTTCAAATGTGGCTCGGAAATAAGCAATTTATAAGTTTTTTTTGCAAGGAATTATCGTAAGTATAAATTGTAAAAAAATTGTTTCTTATTTAATTCATCGAAATTGCAATGAAAATTATATAACCTTTAAAGAGTGTAATCACAGCGATGCACATTTGTAACTTGGCCAGTTCAATAGCATAAAACCATATACCTACTTTTGTAGAATTTTTGTTGCTATTAGTTGTTGTACTCGTGTCTTACAATCTATTTTTAATTGTTTTTTTTTTTTTTTTAATTTGTATTTCTAGCACCGCTGTAGGTAGCAACGCAAATTTTTCCCAAAGAGCCTTTTTCACATTCAATGACCTAACGAATAAGAATCGGGAATATGTAAAAAAGGAATTAATTGGATACTCAATGAAGGAAATGTACGATGTGGTTGCCGACGTACCAAACTATCATGAATTTGTACCATATGTAAAAAAATCGCTGGTACACAATCGTAGAAAAGATGAGTTCAAGGCTGATCTTATCGTCGGTTTCCCACCACTTAATGAAAAATATACGTCGAATGTTTCGCTGAAATCTCCAGCTCTTGTGAGATCCGTTTGTAACGATGGGAGATTATTCACTTTTTTACTAAACGAATGGCGCTTTAGTCCTGGTCTGAAAGATATTCCACAGTCGTGTGTTGTCGACTTCAAAGTAACTTTCGAATTCAAATCGCTGTTACATAGCAATATTGCAAATATATTCTTTGAATTAATTTGCGATCAAATGGAGCATGCATTTGTAGCTGAAGCTGAGAGACGATATGGACCACCTTCGATTAAATCGCATATATTGTCTTGGCGAAGATCTTGACCGAGGCTCAATGAACAAGTTAAATCTAAGTAATATAGTGTTGAAGAGCTTGTATGTGATTGTTGTATTTTATTATTATTTAGTATTTAAGATAAACAATGCAGCCAAATGAAACTAGCACATATGTACATATTACATTAGGACATATGGACCTTTCCAGCGTTAAGTACCGCAAAAAAAAATAAAATAAAAAATAAAGTCCTCTAATTTATTTATAGGCCGATTTCGCTGTAACGTCACGCCAGCTCATATGTTTACTAATATCGCTACATATGTTTACTAATATATATACATATGGGTGCATACCAGATTTCCTCAAAAAGCAGTTCTTTTCATAATGAGTTAATAATTCATTGCATTAACTGAAGTGCTAAAACTATTGTAAGTTATACTGCTAAGTTCATTTTGTGTATCGTACAATCCATATTATTATTTTTTAATAATTCAAGGAATTAATGTAAAGCTAGTAGTAAAGTAAGTAATTATAAAAATAACCCAAACTCACTTGTTCAGTTTGTTTAAAAACATTTAACGAAGGCCATAGTTTTTTAGTTCTAGGTATTAATCTTAAACTATTCATATGTAAAATGTACATATATAAATATTTTTTATCTAATAAAATTTTAATATATGTGCATTGATATGTTTTTAAAAGGGATCTTAATCGTTTATGAAGACTACACCATCTACGTTCCCACGACAGTCGGGTCTACGTAACCGGAACGACCCAGATTTATATCTGGCCAAGGACTGTCACTCCAGCAACACTCCCAAAAACTCTTTGGGGAATTTGTATGCTGCTACAACAACAACAACAACTACACCATCTAGGGGTGGGTAATATAATTTTGATCTTTCAAATATGTGAGTGCGTTTTAGTAATGGAAGAATAGTGATCAAATAAAAGTAGCCTACCCACAAAGCGATTTTAGCCCTACAAAGGATAATTTAGTTTAGCCGTCAGTTAGACAAACCATAATTACTAACGCACATCTATTGAAATTTGGTCTCTTAGACATTCCCTGTTTTGTGTATCAACAGTCATCCAGTATCCAAAATTTAGTAATCCCTAAAATTCTCTGATCTGCTTCTTCGTATCTACTCTAGCCCTCATTCGCCATACAGTCTCTGCTGCTAGCGCTGCGTAATATTATTAATATAATAAATACTTTTATTCATGATAAAAAAACGAAGGCAGTTCTGTTGCAACGTTTTGGGTCGGACGGCAACCGGTTTTCAGTTGCGTTGCCAGTGGTTGAAGTGGTATTACAGATGGCAATTAACGACTGGGTTGCAATATTGGCAACTGCATTTTTATGGTAGCGATAGAAAAATTTTATTCAGAAATTTTTTTTTATTTCTTCAACTGTATCTGCAGCTTTTTACACTAAAGTCTTGATAATTGGCGGCTCAAAATTCGATTACCTTAGACTACATAGCAAACTATAATTGCTATTCATAATATCGATGGCTTATATTCAATACAACCTATCTGCAATGTTCAAAGTAGTTTTTGTGAAAACCGCAGATAGAGGGTATTGAATATAAGCCCTCGATTTGCTATTGAATTGAAAAAAAAATTGAAATCAAAAAATCAATGCGACAGTTAAATCCCAGATGGGTGCTAACATGCGAAAGTAGTGTTTGTGAGAATTGCAGATAGGTTGTATTGAATATAAGCCCATGGTGATAATTATACTAGGTGAGGTAATTGGAGCGAGAAGAAACATTTAACACTATCTTATTTGAAAATTTGCCTTCAAAAATTTTTATAAGATAGCTGAATGTTATGAAAATAAAGCGAGAAAGCTTTTTATTATAGATTTATATTTCAGTGGCGATATTGAGGTTTGTCCGTAATCAACCAATTAAATAAATATACATGCATATTGCATTTTATGTGACGCTTTTATTTCAAATTTTCTCCCAAAGTATACGAACCTTGAGAAAAATAAATGTCTGTTCACAGTTTGGCAGTTGTAATCTCTACTACATTACTTATACATTTATTTAAGTATTTCGTTTTATTCTACATTAGTTGATTCCTCTTGTTAGTTTCAACACTACAGTGCCTAAATTAGTTATTGTATCGTTCCATGTGGATTAGATTATTGAAGATTTAACAGACTACAATAAAGGAAAACAATATGTGAGTATTAATGTTGATGCGTTTTTTAGATAGGTGTGAAATGCAAGGTTTAAGCTCTAATATTACTACTAACTCGATTTATTTTTTACATTAAACTTTTTAACAATGCGTATTTTTTATCTATTTCTAAAATGTCATAACTTACATAAATAATTATAAAAGTAAAAACACATTAAGTATGATTTGTTTTCCCTAAATTTTAGTTCATATAAACTTAAAAAAATATTTTTAATTTTAATAAAATAATCAATACTATAGAGTAAAAATATTACACAAAATATTACCGCAGAAAAAACAAGCTTATATTAGAAATACAGATGGGTAAAGTTCGAGAAGTAATACACATTTTTTTTATTAAAATTTTAAATTAAATATATTGGCAAGAATCCTAATATATAAAGATGTAAGTACTATCTACAATATTGCGAAAAATACATCAAATGAAAAACCGATTTTGCCAAGCAAAATACAAAACTCGTACATTCTTTCAAAGTAACATTTCTATTTTAGTCACTTATTAGCAGCTTATAATTCTGACTTTCCCATGGAAATAGGTTTAGTACTAGGTACAATACACACTTTTAGTATTAGACCGAGTATTCGCACTACTCGGAGGGATGTTCCATCTGCATAGACAATTTCAATAAGTTTGTTACAGTACAAAGAAAAACAAACTAATTCACAAAGATTCTCCTCTTTACATAGGCAATAAGAAAATATAAAAATAAAAGATAATATGTATAAAAAATTGTATATAAAAGTAAGTAAAAAGAATACTTATTTTGCAAAAGTAAGGATCAAATATCACTCTAAGGCCGAGGCCACGCAATGAGCGGCTAGGCGGCGACTGGCTGAGTGGCTGAGCAGCTTAAAATTAAAACATATGAAATACTATTGAAGTGGCCACGCACTGAGTGGCATTTCTGAGCTGCTGAGCGGCATTTTTGTATGGCGTCGCTCAGCCGCTCGTCGCTTTGCCGCTCATTGCGTGGCCTCGACCTAAGGTTTTATAGGCTACATGTTTGTGGCGCTTACGCCTATCTCGCCCTCAATTGTGCTTGGCTCGTTTACCAAACATATAGCCCTTCCATCGCTCAGCTGTTTCCATTAATAGTGGATCACTATCGATTGTAGATAGTAACAGTAACTGGCTAACGTGCGTCGCATGGTAATCGTCTCGTGCCAAATTCGGAGCAGTGCCTGCAATACGAGAACGTGCATTCAAATTATTCAAAAAACGCACTATCTTATTTTGCATCTATATCTACAAACCTAAACTTAGATGACGCAAATCATAACTCGTACCAGAGCCCGTGTCATACAACAGTAACATTTTTTTCAATGAATACATGCCTTGATTAAAAAGCTTTCCAGCCTCGCGTCCAATGTTTGATGGCGCGGTAGAATTTAAATCAAATAGTCCCAAAAGAGAGTAAATAAAACCATTCAAAACGAAAGATGGCGGCGTTGTTGGATATTCTTCGTACCTGTGAAAATGTAAAGTTAAAGAATACATTTAAAAAATGCGTTATCCAATTCAATCTTCAATCAGAACTCGATAAGCTATGTAATTGGTGTGCAATGAATCATCTCTTCCTTAACATCATTAAATGCCACAAAGCTACGTTCTCTAAACTGCCTAAACCTCTGTGCACTTTGTACCATTCAGCTAACACCTTTCTCGAATCGGTTGAAGTGATTAAATACCTGGGAGTGTTTTTTGATTCTAAGTTTAATTTGAATGCGCATATAAATTACACCATCTCAAACTATTCGCAATTTTCGGACCCGTACACACTTAAGACTTTGTTCACTGCCTTTGTACGGTCTAAACTGGAATACGCTGCGTTTATCTGCAGACCGTATCACGCTATTCACATCAATCGTCTGGAGAGAGTGCAAAAAATATTCCTACACTTTGCTCTGCACAACCCACATTTTTCTGAACCGATTCCACCATACGAGTCGCGTTGCCAATTTATTAACTTATTAACATTAAATAATAGACGCTCACTACTGTCTATGTCTTCTCGACATCGTCTCGGGTAAAGTCGACTGCTCGTCCCTGCTTGGGTTGATAGATTTCACTGTGCCGAGTAGAAACCTTCGTCGCTTTCGATACTTTTCGTATTGGTTTAAATAAAACGGTTTACAATGCAAATGCCCCCATTGTTAGGGCTTTGAATGAGTACAACTGTTTCTCGAAATTTTTGGATCTTGACTTGTCGGAATCAAAATCAATTATCTGCAATAGATTGAAAATCTATTTATTGTGTAAAAATTTAGAATAGCCTAACGTTTTCATTTTGTAACTAAAATATATAGCTTGTAATTTTTCATAATGTCTGTACCATATACAACTTTACGATATTAAATAAATTAATTAATTAAATAAATAAATGTTTAAATACATAGCACCCACCCGTCCTTTACTAAATTTACTCACCAGAAATACTTGTCCATAAATTGCGCTAATACGCCACCATCCTTTGAATATACACGGAATGGTTTTAGGCCCAACGCCGCTGCTTTCAAGTAGCGCTTGTCTCCTCCGGAGTGGAAGTAGGCTCTCGCCAGTACGGAAATCGCGTGGCCCTGTCCCATAGCCGAGAGCCAACCTGCTTTAAGTTCAGTGAAGCCGTTTAAACTGCGCCTCACTGGATTTGGCCAACCACCAGTTTTTAAATCCTGATTGTGGATAAACCACTCGGCGGCATCGTAAAAATGCGCCAAGTGATCATATGTTGAGAACGTTATGTTATCGAAGAAACCAACACCCAGAAACGCCACCGATGTGACTCGCAATTCATTTCGTCGAATTTTTAATGGCGATTTTTTGTCACTGCCACTCATGACGCCTTTCTGTACATCTATAAACAGGTCCCGCGTTATATGACGCCATCTATTCACAGCACTAGTACCCATGCCATAGTATATATTTTGATCTTGCGTGCTTAGCCGCAAATCTGCGGGAATGTAGTGCAGTAGGTAATTCTGCTTAGTTTCACGAGACTGCAATGTCACCATAAGACTACTGCTGTTAGTGACCAGCAAAATATCAACACTTAGCACCAGCTCAAGTGTTTGGTTGATGTCTAAGCGCACAGCACTATCATATCCAATGGCAGTTTCATATTGGATGACAGATGTATTAAATTTCGGATGCCAAATGCGAGAAATATTACTGGACTTGGGCGTATACCAATTTGCTTTATTAGTATCGGCATCTTCCAACACCTGTGGAACAGACGATAGTTCTTCATGCTCAATACACAAGCAAATCATCGTTTAAAGTACAAAACCGCGTATGTGAGGTTGCATAAATTATTTTCTATAAAGAGGCATTTTATGTCACCGCGGTCAACTCTGTGCGCGACCTCTAAGGATTTGGATGAAAGTTGAAGAGATTGAAGGTCTAGGTTACATGAATATACGTGTAGCATATTTTGCCGATATGACGTAGGGTTGTCTATTTACACGGGACTTAAATTTTAAAAAGCGTCACACATACCTTTCTTTAAAGAGCTGTATCTTGGAAACCTTTTAACGCAACTTAATGAAAAAAGTGTATTTCTTCCGTCTTATTATGGGCTCTAATTGTACATTTTTTACATTAATATGCAACGTATGAAAAACGAAAGTAAATTAAGTAAACATTTTTCTTTTTGATTTTTTTTTTTTGGTTATAGCCACAGTTATAGCATTTTTTTAATTTTTATTTTTACATAAAAACATTGTCTATATTGTCAACTTTTAGTACCCAAATGAGCGTAATGGGCTACTTATGCATATGGATCGTCTAACGCTCGAGCAATATGATATATAGACATTGAAATTTTATGAAATTGTATATTTTTGAAAGAGGAAAGGTGTGTAAAAAGCAAAAGCAATATGAATAAATCATATTAACTTTACTAAAGGACTGAAATTATGAAAATCCCTTCAAGAAAATGGCAGAATTGGATTTTGTTGAAAGTTCTAATGGGAAATCTGCTTACGACGTGATTGGAGGACATTTTAAGAGACTAGCAGCTAGAGCAAGTCTTCATCTTATGATGTTACAACAAATTCGTACACCTGAAGCCCTCTACCAATGAGATGCCTGTAAAAAATAACTGCAACTAACTTTTCAGTGGACTATTTCGGCTATGACTACGTGCCGATTACTTGAATCCTATTTTAAGCTAATTTAAAAGGTTAAATAACATAAAGTTAGGGAACTTCATATCCTTATTTAACGAATCTTTAAATCAAAAAATAATTTTTTTCTTTTTAGTTCTTCTTGTAATAAAGCGTGTTGTAATAAGACGGAAGAAATACATTTTTTTTTTCATTAAGTTGCGTTAAAAGGCTTTCAAGATACAGCACTTTAAAGAAAGGTATGTATGACGTTTTCTTAAAATTTAAGTCCCGTGTAAATAGACAACCCTACGTCATATCGGCAAAATATGCTACACGTACATATATTCATGCACCGAGACCTTCAATCTCTTCAACTTTCATCCAAATCCTTAGAGGTCGCGCACAGAGGTGGCCGCGGTGATATGAAATGCCTCTAAAGTAAAAACACTCATATATATAAAATTATAGTTTAAAAAAATAGAACCTCCCTGTTATAATTGCCATTCGTACTGTCATCAGGTATGTATGTAACTTGAGAATAGAAATCGCTGCATCTTTTGGGCGCATCAATATTACATAGTTACATCCCAAGCTAATAAAAGGAAGGTAAAAAATTGTTCTCTTCTTTATAAAGCAATCACATTTCTGGCTAGTATATTTCAGGACGAATGGATAAGGATTGAGCCAAGAGCAAACCCAACTTTTGTTAAAAATAACAGTTACGCTGTTTTGCAGAACGACGATACGCGGTTTTGTACTTTAAACTACGAAATAATTGTTAGGTATTATTAATTAATCGAAAAGGTATAGTTTATTGTAAAAGCAATTAAAACGTTTATATGTTTGTAATAAAAGATTACCTTGATTTTCGGCGGTGGTTCAGACAAGTTTTTGCTATAATGTGCTAAAGCAAACTGAGCAATTTGTGTCGGGTAAAAATACCCACTTTTTTCCCACTGTGTACTTATAGGCACGCCTTCGGCGGCGCTTATGCACTTTACGCGATCACGCACCTATATAAGTGAAATGAAATATAATAATAAAAATTTCTACAAGCTCGTCTTGAATATTGAATTTACCTCCACATTGTAGTTTTCAAAATAAGCAAAGCGTCCACGTGAATCGTATTTCCCTTTGGGTACATTAATTTTTGCATTGCTATGCACCCACGCAAATCGTGGCACTATATTATCATCTCCATTAACGCTTTTATCATTGATGCTACTGCTGGTGACCGCAAGCATGCCACCATTAATGTCAAAATAACTGCGTAAAAACGAAAATGGCACGTATACTTCATTATTTTCTGCACTGTGTTTGCAAGGTATCGAATATTCCTGATTTATCCAGCACTCAATATTCTGTAGCGGTGCAGAAAGTAAAGATTGATTGTCATCAATCGTATTTGAACCCAAACTATTGCCTTTTTTCAATCGGCGATCCCAATGTTGCACAAAATTGTGTGGAAATAAGAAATCCGGAAAAAAGAAATATAGTACTGCACCGGTGAATACTACAAATGCTATGAGTGCGTAAAGGAAATTCTTCAGGTTTAAACGCATTATGATTAGGAAAAAGAGTTGTTCACGCTGTAAAGGTACAAAAATATGAACTCATATCATATATGAAAAAGTGATAACACCATGCTTATTTATGAATACAACTTTTAAATAACTTTTTCAAATGGCACACAAAACCTACGGATGGGGCTTCAGATATTGTGGGTTTCGATTTCAAATAGGAATATGCATTTTAGCTTCATAGCTACGTTCTAAAGCAATTAACTATTTTTGCTTTCTCCAAACATATCTGGATGATGTTAAATGTGTATGTACGTTTGCACTTACCTTGGCGTTGAATTTGCGGGATTTATGTTCGGTACCGCTAGTGCTACTTCGTTTTACAAAGAAACGGTTGATACTTCCACCTCTGTGGTTTATGCTGTGCTTAGCGGTGTTGACAGTAGTTATAATCTTATTGATACTATTACAGCTCTTTGTATCTACACAGGTCACCGTAGGCGTAGGACCTTTCGCTGCTGTCCCAGCGTTTGTATAGTTTGTGAACATCGGATTGTACGCCAATATTTGCAATCGTATTTTTAACTATCCGAAATTCGCATAGATTGTAATTGCAGTTATATAGATGAATATTTTTCGTGCGTAGGCGTTAAACATATCAACTATAAGCTCACGACTTCCATATTCCGGCTTTTATGATTGCTGCCGTTGAGCTAATATGGTCAATGTGCATAATTGAATCGGGTGTTCATATATGACCGTTTTCGGTTTTATAGCTGATTTATTTTCATTTTTAATTATTGCACTAATTTTTTATTTACTTCGTCTGCGAGCGAAATTTGTACAGGTTTTTGTTAGTTTTACCCGAAAACATATGATTTTGACAGGTCTAAATGACGTGTGTTTGTAAACATTCAGCATAGGGATGCCAAATTTTTTAATTTGTCGGTCATTTGTATTCCTTTGGGAATAATTAACATATTGAGCGCCAGCTTATCAGTGCATGCATGTGGTTTAAACCTGCGAGCCGGTTGGTTTAATACGGCTTTCCCACGCCACCTCAATTACGTAGTTCGCTCTCTCATTCGTAATCCGCACTCCAATTACCCTTCGAATTACGTAATTCGCCATACAAAATTTTGAGAGCGAATTACCTCATTTGTAGGTAATCCAGATCCAATTGCCAAGCGAATTATGAACAAATCGGTACCGTGAAATTTATCGAAACTAGCACACAAATCAAAACATGCATTTTTTCTACAATACAACAAAAAACATAAAAATATAATTCCTAAACTTTGTGCAAAACTCGCGAAAATTCAGCAAATTTTCATCAAACTTTTAAACTTTTTAATCAGTTTTTTAGAATTTTTTTGAGTACGCAGTTTTGCAGCCCATTAAATTCTATTAAAAGAATGCAAGTTCGGAGTAGGTCAAAAATCGCGTTGATTTTTGAAATTTTTTTTTGTTGAAGGTGTTTTGCATTTTTTCCATATAAAGTATTTTCGAATAAAACTTTTTATATGGAAGATACTGCGTGAAAAAAATTCCCAATAATATTATTATTGAAGTTAAGGGATTTACAAAAAATCGCAGTGGAGTAAAGCTTGGAAACTTAAGCGTCACGTGTGTGTGTAAGTTTGGCTTACAAGGGATTCGAAATGTTTTCCGACATACCTAATGTAACACACAATGTAATAACACAAATATCGCACTTACTCTGGTTATAGGTAAAAAGTCGCAAAATTGTAAATGATTTTCCGTTTCTCTCCAAACCAAATTTGACAATATGAGGGAAACTCGTTCCACAATGCATTACACTCCTTCCTATCCTATCGTAGTCACCAACAACCAAATGAGAATTTGTAAAATAACTTATATTTTATTTTGTTTTTTCATTTATAAATTCACATGTATACATGTTTCATATTATAGTATGTATGTATATACATAAGTATGTATTACATTAAGCTCTTATACGCGAATAATTTCTAATAGGTAAATACAATAAATCCAATTAAGATTGAAGAAGTGCCATCGGCAATTATTCCACTTATTTATATTCTTCCCTGTTACAACTGAAATCAAAACAAAATTAATTATATAGACATTCATTCTGGTAAATATATGGGGACTATGTACTTTACCTATGCACGTATATCGAAATATGGTATTTTAAATTAAGCATGAACGCATGTGTAGCTATTTCTGCAAATAAAATTGTTCAAAACAAGCACATGACATATAAACTAAATTTAGTTTTTTCGAACAGAAAAAAAATTAAATTTGTATACCATTACCTTAATATAAAAAGCACCTAACTCATTTTCTTTCAAAATTCAGCTTTGTACAAAGGTTGATAGATAACTTACAAAAGGCCCAATGAGATTTAAAAACAACCAGATATCTACTAAAAAAATAAATTCCGAACTTAAGTACTTTAGTTTTTATAAAGTATTGTAATACTCTGTAGACACAATATTTAAATAGGGCTCTTCTGTATCAAGGTAACGATATGTACATTGCATATAAATAGTTCATCACTTGAAAATTGTAATAGCAATGTAAAAGTGTTTAAATTTAAGTTAATATTTTGTTGAAAAGTATTTAATTACAATTTATTTTGTAACGTAATGATTTTTTTTTTTCGACACGGCATTTAACTGAAAATTAACACAATCCCTTTATTCTATGCGTAAATATGTAGTATGATGACTATTACCAAAACTTCTACAAACACATTAAATATGCATATCGCCACGCGTTACTCCATCTAATATTTGTTATGCTGTGCCAGCAATTGCATATCCGTAAGGTATTTGATGATGTGCACCTTTGCTTCAGCCTTCTGTCGCACACCCAAGGTGTTAAGCATGTCAGTGACCACCATGCCAAACGATTGATCCTCAGCACTAACTGCCTGCGACATCGAATTTTGGAAAATCTTGATTGTGTTTAGCATATTGTCGTGATTTTCTTCCTCGGTACGCTCGCGCTTCAGTGGTGGCTCATAGAAATATGGTTTTTGATCTTTACCGGCGGCGGTTAATTGAGTGTCGCCTGTAACTGCAATTTCTAAATGTGAACTTGAGTATATAGTGTGATACAAAACAATAATAAAAATGCAAAATAAGTATGCATTTGCAAGCTGCAAGCAAACGAAGCAATGAAGTGAGCTAGACTGAAGTAAAGTCTAAGGTGATTTGGGTGTACATAATCGGAGCTGAGATTTGAATTTTGAATTGTATTTATTTCGTTTTGTCTATGAAATAACGCAAGCGTCACATTTCGTATATGTACGTACACAGCAGTGATCGGACTCAATAAAAATTCTGTGTGGTAGAATCTGGAAAAAATGTGGTAGATTTAGAAAAAATGTGGCAGATTTAGAAAAAAAAATGTGGTAGATCTCAGGCTTCGGATCAAACTTTTTACAAAAATTAAAAAATATCTGCATGGTTTCACCTAAAATGAAAACTTTTTAATTCGAATCTCTAGAAAAAACTTTTAACTTGGGTTTTGCCGATAACTTTGTGAAGAATTTTTATACTTTTTGGAAAGGGACCACCATAACCGTAACATTTGCTTGCAGTTGGATTGTGCAGTTTTAGTTTAGTTTTAGCTAAACATAGCTTATATATGTAATGTCAAAAAGAAAGTTGGGCTTACCATGCGGATGAGCAAGCGCTTGAGCCGATGTGGTAGCACTGCCGTTGAAGGGCTGTGCAAATATATCTACGACAGCCTGTTGCTGAGGCTGCTGTTGTTGTTGATTTGGATCAACTTGTGTTACTTGATTGGTATTCTGCTGTACAGTATTACATTTACCCAAAAGCGATTCGCGATATTGTCTAAAAAGAAAAACTGTTTAACTCTATTTGGATGCGAATCTTGAACTATATGTACATACATATCGCTCATTTACTTCAATAGTGTCATAACTTAAAAAAGCAAGACTCGAGTAACTATTGAAGTAAATGTGCGATATGTATGTACATACTTACACATGTATGCATTTATAATTTTTTTACCTTATCGAATCGACTAAGAACTGCATTTGCTTAAAGTAACGCCAACGCGATTCCTGGCACAATTTCATTTCCCGCGCAAATTTATCGCGCAAACTCTTCCAACGTTTAGTGCATTTTTGTTCTGAAAAAATATAATCAGTTAGGTAGTACAACTACCAAATTGGAAACGCATAGGTTTTTAATTACACTAACTTATATAGTTATATTTAATTATCCGCTTAACTATATTAATAACAAATAAAAACTAACAAAAACAAACAAGAAACCCTAAGTTCGGGCGGAGCCGAACATTAAATACCCGGCGCAAGTATTAAATATGTTTTTTACCTTTCCGAAAACTACCACTACATGGTAGGAAGGGGTAGTTTTACCCCTATTTTTAACATCTTCAAAATTTCAAATAATGTTAGTCCTTTTCAAGGTATTTTTGTTAGTATCAATTTCGAAATATCGAAGTATCAAGCATTTCTGAAATTTACCGTTATATGAAAAGTGACCGTAATTTTACTCCGATTTCAATAATTTTCAACGTTTTGCTCTTATGTGGCAAGCACAATAACCATACCGAGTTTGGAACAAATTGGTAGAACGGTTAGCGAGATACTTATATGTGATAATAAGTGGGGTATTTTTGGTCTAAAAATATCGCAGAAAAGAAATATAGCCAATACTGGTCAAGAAAAGGAGTTTCTATTATTGCCATCAGTGCAAATAAGAAATCCCGGGATTATTTGCCAAGAATCCCGGGATTTTCGGGACCTTAAAAAGGCACACTCCTAGTGTGCACAGACGGCCGCAGTCACCCCTTAATCGATTTCTGATTTCACTCTGATCATTTATGTATACATTTGTCTATATCGTCGCCTGGGTGAAAGATTGTCATAGGTATGTATGTTAATTTCGGTAGGTTGTGGGAAATCGCGTTTGAAATTTGGAATGCAATTTCTCTAAAACGCGAAGATAGATTTACCTCAAAGTCTCTGAAAATGTTACTAGTTCACAAAATTCTTAAATTATTTAATTTTGAATATTTATAGTTAATTAGTTTTGAGTTTATGAAGGGTTTTCTTTCGTGAAATTTTGTCGTAAGTCATTTGTCCACAATTTGGCAGCCACATATGACAAAATGTGGTCAAAATTTTTACTAAATTAACGACACTTTTTAATCAATATCTCGGAAACTAAAGGAGAAATCCAAAAATGGAGAACGCCATTTTTAAGATATTGATTATTTTAATATGACTGCATCACTAGCTAAATTTTTACTAAATTATCGAAAAACTTTTAGTCAATATCTTGGAAGCTAAAGGAGATATCTAAAAACTGATAACACCAATTGAAAGGCCTTATTTCAAAATATATACAGTATCGGTCATATCTATAGCACGCCATTTCCAAGGGATATTGTGTGCCCCTTATGTTTATTTATTTATTTTTAAGAATTTTCAATTAAAATTAAGTTCATTCTCAGACAAACCCCATATATACCCAAGTTCAACAATTTGTAGAAAACTACAAAAAAGTGTAAAAATTGTTTACCTAAATTTGAAACTTTTTTCCCGGAAGTGATAGAATTTTTTTGAGTACACAGTTTTTTAGCCCCTGCAATTTTAGTCTGATAATGTGCAAATTGCAAGTGGCTACGAATTACCGTTAATTTTTTAGAATTTTTTTTGTCGCATTGGCTTCCATATAATGAATAAACTCAACTTATTTGTACATGGAAGAAAACCGCAACACCTTTGGCGAAAAAAATTCTAAAAAATCAACGGTAACTTCCAGTCACTTGAAACTTGCACATTATCAGACTGAAATTGATTGGGCTATAAAACTGTGTATTCAGAAAAATTCAAACACTTCCAAGAAAAAAGTTTGAAATTTAGGTGAAAATTTGTTGTACTTTTTTGTAGTTTTCTAAAAATTTATAAACTTGGGACTATATGGGTTTTGTTAGAGAAAGAACTGTATTTTAATTGAAAATTCTTAAAAATAAATAAATAATTATAAGTGGCACACAATATCACTTTGAAATGGCGTGCTATAGATATGAGAACTAAAAATCGTCAAAACTGCGCTCACGACAATCTTTTACCCAGGCGACGTATGTATCTACCTCGATTCGCTTTGCCTGTTACAAACAACTGCCTTGTGAACAAAGGTATAATACCCTTGTGCACACGTTCCCACGACAGTCGGGTCTACGTAACCGGAACGACCCAGATTTATATCTGGCCAAGGACTGTCACTCCAGCAACACTCCCCAAAAAGTCTTTGGGGAATTTGTATGCTGCTACAACAACAACAACAACCCTTGTGCACAAGTGCGCTCGGGTATAAAAATTTAAAATTCCCATTTCACCTGTTGACGGCATGACATACTTTGTTTACACATCTGATTCCAAATGGCGAAGACCAACAAAATGTTTTATTCAATGAATTAGTGCTATGTAAACAAACGTAAATGAAAATGAAACAACCACATGACTGAAACGAAAAACGTCGCGAAGCACTCTAAAACAGAAATCAAATCGAATTAGAATCGAATGAGACTATGTAGACGGTAGTGAAAATGAGACAAGGTAAACTGCAGAACGTCGCCAACGAACACCGCGTACACACAATTGTCGCTGCCACTGTCCGTCTTTACAGTGCTGCTTTGTAGTTTGCGATCCCTCCCTGCTTCGTAATGCTGAATTGTCGTTGGCAAACGACGCAGTTCTAGCATTTGCTACACATCTGCCACACTGTGCTCACACTCGCAACGCACCGGCAGTTATATAGCTATCTCTTTCCCACCTAGGTATTCATACCGCTACCGAACGAAAGCGCGCTTTCCATTTGCAGCACAAGAAGCAAGCAAGCAAGCGACCGAACAACAAAGTACAGCTAACGCAAGCAGTCAGCAACGACGACATCAGCACTTATGAAATGTGAATGCCGTCAACGTTCAGATTGCAGCTGTGGGTTGGGGGGAAGGGAACAGTGATAGATACACGACGACATCGGCGACGTAACAAACGTAGCTGCCTCCGCGCGCGCCTCTGCTATCAATAACCTACAAAAACAACTTCTGCAAGCCATTGCCCAGGCATACAGCCAGCAGTCTGGCCACCCAAAAAGCGCAGTGTGTGGTGGTGGCATGATGGTCGTATTTTAATTTTAACTCATCGCCACGCTGGTCTCATGAACATTTTTCGCTGCTTACTGTGCTGTTGAGATAGCTGTCGCTGTCTTGTTCGTCGCAGTACGCCTCCCCTGCTCTGCACCGTATATGTATACGTACTTCAATACTAGCTATTTGGCACCGAGGGGCCAGGCATCGTCGCCCCTGCTCACTTTTGTGGATATGCACATTCACACAATCGTACATTCGAATTAATACTCGATTTTCATTTATACTTTAACGTTGGTTGGTTTTTTAGTTTCCATAGTTTTACTTTTATGATGGCGACGACTGTGTGCTCCATTTGGCTTCGACTGAAGTTTCTGGTTACATATGTACATATGTATGTACTTACTACATGAAATCCCGCATACATACCAGGAACTCCAAGTGATTCTGCAATCTGCTTCCAGGTCTGCGCCTTCCTTACAAAATGCTTGTAGTTATAGTGGGAACGGTCGTATATGACCGGGTTCAGTTTCACAGCTTCAATAAGATTCAAATCGAACTGCTGTTCCAAATTGGTATCCAATTTGTCCATTCCGTTTTTTTTTTGTTTTTGCTTGTAATTTGAAGATTTGCAATTGCACGTTTATTATGCTGCTTCTGCCCACAGAGACGTCCACAGAACTCCGCCAACGGCTTTTACTCTGGGATTTCGCACAAAAATCTCTAATTTCTATCGCAGTCAAAAGTCGCTGCTTGCAGTGAAATTTTTTCTAATTGAGGCAGAACAACTTTTTTTTCAATTCCAGGTGTAGATATTTGCTATTTGTGTAGCTACCCGACACGACAAGCTGCGAAGCGACGCAAATGCAAAGCAAACGACTCCAACGACGACTGCGGACAGAGATAGACGATGGCGATGACGATGGCCGAAAAGCCAGCGAAAACTTCGACCTAGCAATTCGTCGCAGCGCCGTGGCAGAGATGCCACACAATCGCTGTTGCTATGGACAGCGAATTTTCACCTGTTTTTTGTAACTACGTTTGCTGCTTTAGATAAAAAGTGTGAAGAATTTGTTGTTGATACTGCTATTAACCCTTAATTAGGCGCATAAAGAAAATCACGGGTCCCCAGTGACCCCAATAAGTGTTGAAAAAAAAAATTTTCAAAATAAAAAAAAAACGAAGTGTCTATTAACAAAAATATTAAAATACTCTATTATCGTGAATTGAAAAAAAGAAAAACATTATTTCGACTTCAAACTTAAAAAATAATTAAAAACTTACCTCCGCCAAAAAGTGTTACGTGGTAGATGCATGGGGTCAGCACTCAAGCGAGTAGCGACGACGATGTTCTAACCGTGACTAAATAATGTATATTGTCATAAATATTAAAGCTCTTTATTATAGTTAACTTTAAGAAAGAAAAGCACAACTTTGACTTAGATACAAAAATACTTTCCACCGCGAAAAAATGTTACATAAGTGGTCACATGGGTCGGGGATTAAAAGAGTAGCGACAAATGTGTACACGCCGATGTTCTGGCCGTGACTTATTTACGTACCCCGCGTGGAGTTAGGAAGCTGACAGAGCGCGAGCACGCGACGAGCATTCCAAGACATTTTTTTTTTAATTAAGGGTTAATTAGAAAAGAACACTTGTCAAACTCGAAATGAATTTCACTTAACGTGTTAAATTAACGTTATCTATAGATAACGGTAAATGCTATTACGTTTACTGTTCCACAACTAGTTTCTTGTAAAGTTGGCAACGCGAATGGTATTGACTATCGATATATGCCGATAGTATTGACGATAACTATCGATATATCGATACCATCGATCATATTAAATTTATAAAAAAAACTACTAAAATATGTCTATATTAAATTAAATGTACTCTATCCTGTACAGTTTAATTTGTTTGCCAAACAATTTTTCTGCTAAAAACTCTAGCCCAAAGTTTTAGTCTTCAGTTTTGTTTGACAATCATTAATAATTAAGCCGATATTGCTCTAAATTATTTTTAGAAATCTATATGTATCCCAGATGAAGAATTTAGAACTGGGTTCAAACTATAGAAAAATTGACACAGAACGAACTACATTTAGGAAAAAGCATTTCCTTAAAACAAGAAAATGGTATTCTTATTTTAGGGTTACTGGTTTCTCCTTAATATTACGAAAAAATTTCCTTAAATAACTTTGAATTTTGCAAGTGCTGTTAAGACAAAGTTAATTGCTTTCCTGGCAAATGTCGGCTGTGGCGTCGCGTGAAGACTACTGCTTTTAGTTCAGGGATCGCAGGTTTGAGTCCGGTTGGAGGTGGTTACAGTAAGGTAAGTCAATTATTTCTATTTAAATATAAATTAGAATTGTAAAATTAATTTCATATATGGAAAAACCCAAATACTCAAATACTATAAAAACTTAATTATACAATATTTTTTTAAATACAATGTACAAATTTACAATTAAGAAATAGTATCGAGCCTTAAAATGTCGATAGTATTTTTGTAAAACACAAACCATCGATATATCGATAGTATCGTCGATATTTTTCCACCTCTAGTGTTTACCATCTGATTTCCATTTATGAAATGACGAGTTTGTTTTGATAAGATGGATCTTAATTGTGCTAGCGAGTTTAGTAATCTTCAGTTTTAGAGATTTGTAAATGAAAAATGTCATTAATATGAATCAAAAAGGAACTGTTAAAACTAAAGGTAATCATAAAGGATTTTTTTGCAATTAGATATACTGCAGTTTTGGTAAAAGTTGGAAACAAGTTTCACTAAAAAGTGAAAGTTTGACACCGTTTAAAGAAAGTGAATATTGTTAAAAGATCTTAGTCCTGTGTGGAGTTATATGCAGCAAGAAACATCTTTTCAAACATCAATTTGTCAACTCCGCCTCCACTAATAATAGGTGCGTTCGTTTAAAATCTCCAACAGAAACCAACCAACTGCCAAATTCCGGCGAAATGCCATCTGTTCGCTCACAAGAGAGAAATATCCAAAATAGTACGCGAACAGAAAATTTGCAGAAACTTGCAAGTTAGACGAACAGCTGATATAATTTTTGTTTACATACAAAAGTGTAAAATTTAAAACGTACGAAAAGTCATCGCAAAGTGTTATACTGACACAGTTTATTGATTAAACAAATAACTACTTATTTCTTACAAGTTTAATTAGTCGCATTTTGTAATTTTTATCTTCCAAACCATCAAATTAAATTTTGTGATTTGCGTAAATGCCAACCAGCTGTTTTTGATCAGCTGTTTCCCTGTTGGCAAATTGCTGTTGGCAAAAATTTTTCCAACAGAAACTAACAGCTTCCCCTCAAAATGAAATGTCATTTTGCTCTCTCAATTTCCCCTACTTTGCAAGTTTTTTGCGTACGCGAACGCAAAAACCTGTAAGTTTTGGTTAAACATGAACAATTAACAGCTACGCGAACGAACCTAATGACGCTGATGCTGGCCTGTCACGTTTTGTATTGTACCCGTTTTAAACGGGTCAAGTTTTTGAATTAAAATCCGAATCATTTTGGATTTGGCTTTAGTATTTGTTACGCGTGTTGTCTCACTGGAAAATCTGGAAAATCTGGAAATGAAAATATCAGTACTTGGTAGATTACAGTTTTTAGTTTAGGCATTTTTGTTTTAAGTATTTTAACTAAACCTTAAACGCAAACAAGTTTTTATATTGAGTAAGTACCTACATATTAAAGTTTCTATATTTCAGATTTCACTAATAGAGAACTGCTACACACTTAAAAAATATATGGCATCAATGCAGATCCGCGTCTTTGAAATGCAAATTTTATGTAAAAACGATACATAATTTACATAAATATAAAGTAATTCCATAACTGGATGAGTCTTGTTTATATGTATGTACTTATGTACAACTTACGTATGCAGATTTGTAGATAGAATTCTTAAATGTGCTTTAGTAATTACGGCAAGACTATCCATTGTGACGTTATAGCATCCCAAACGTTTAGAATTGAAAATGAGCGGGATGAAAAAGATTTTACTCATTAGCGGCAAAAGAAAATCAGGAAAAGATTACATTTCCAGCGCACTTCATAATATACTCAGTGATCGTAGTCAAATCGTTCGCATTTCAACGCCCATAAAAGGCGAATGGGCAAAACGACTCAATCTAAATTTGAACGAGTTACTGAGTGATGGCCCTTATAAAGAAAACTTTCGTAAAGATATGATAGAATGGAGCGATTCTGTAAGAGCCGAGGACTATGGGTATTTCTGTCGAGCTGCTATGCTGGATGCAAAAGCCGAAATTATAATTGTTAGTGATATACGACGCAAGACAGATATTAAATATTTTCGTGAAACTTATGGCCCACTTGTATATACAGTGCGTATTAATACCAAAAACACAGTACGCATCGATCGAGGCTGGATTTTTACTAGCGGCGTCGATGACGTTGTATCCGAATGTGATTTGGACGATTATCAGCAATGGGACTTAGTGCTGGAGAACAATTGTAAATCAGATGGCGAAGAATGCATCAAAGCTATAACAACGAAATGTCATCTATAAATTTAAGGATTCGTTAAGTTCAAAAAAAAAAGTAAATAAATCAAATTAGCTCTGAAACATTCACTTAACTGTACTGATTATACAACTAAATTAAAAATGGATGTACATATGTAGATAGTCGTTTACCAATAATAAAAACCTGATAAAGCAGCGTGAATATTATAAACAGATTTACTTTGTTGTAACTAAAATATAAATAAATCAGGTGATGCAACATAACATCGGAAATTTGAAACATACATATGTCTGGAAGGAGCAACTTTAAGAGTTTACATGTAAAATATTTATAAGCTTATAAACAATGACCTTGGCCCCACTCTATGCAATCGCTAGTTTATTTTGTTTAAAATACAAACGTATTATATTTAGGTAGAGGATGATAAAAAAGAATCAATATTTTATTTATTTAAAAAAACACTATTGGTAACTTTATAACTAAGATATTTACAGGTTTTCGCTGAACTTGCATTTTAAACATAAACAAAAATTATTCATAAATAGTGATTTTACAGAAATGATTCAATAATCTTGGAAATGCAATAGACATGATAATTTGATGTGATTTCAATTATATATATATTTCTTTACTTGCACTATGAGACTTATTAGATGTATATTGTAAGGGCGTTTCAATGTAATAAAATATTACCGATATGTTAGCAGTTTCGTTATTTGTATTAATAAACATAAAGAATTTACTAGCTTCTACGCAGGCAAATTTTTACTCTATACGAATTCGACGAACACGACGTAACCTAAGCACTTCCTTGACTACTTGACGCGACACTATAATCATGGCTAATATATCTGCGCATATAAGCATATTGAATACATTCTCCCAGCCGCTTTGTGATACTAATCCGGCAATAAATGGGCCAACAGCCGCACCTAGAATGCAAAATACGAACATGTTGGCAATTGTATAGCAATTAATAGGCTGATTGTGAATATCTATACTATTTACCAATTGATCCAGTGCCGTCTATAATCGCCGTTACTGTCGCTAAAGCTTTAGCATTGTGTGATAGCGATTGGTGCTGTCCTAACTCGGCACTAACGAATGTTGTAATAAGCGCATATGGTCCATTGACCATAAATCCAGCAAGTAAAAGTAGAATAATATTTACGAATAACGATATGCCGCCGAAATGGACATACATAAATAGCTACAAATTTAAAATGGAGAAAGATATATTATTTAAGGACTAAATTTATTTTCTAAAATCCGAAGTCTTCAATTCAAAAGGAATATTTAAAAAAGATGCGTATTCTAAAGTTTCTGAAGATGTATAGCAAAAGTACAATTGCCATTAAGAGAACTCTAGATTAATTAAATAATAAATGAAATTACCAGTGGCGCTGCGCACACTAACAAGACAAAGCAAGTTGTGGCGGGCATTCCTGTGTGATCGGATACAGTTCCTGCTGCAATCGCTCCAAAAATACCACCGATATCAAACAGTGTAGAGAGATCTGCAGCAACGCTGGGGCTTAATGTAGCTGCGTAAAAGACATGAAGAAATTATTTCAGGTACAAAAACCTGCTCAATTACTCACTGGAAGATTGTATATATAGTGGCAGCCAATAGAGGAATGTATAACTAACGAGTTTAGCAAAGAATAAGCACAATGAGAATTCTACAACGCCAGGAATGGATAGAGCCTGAAGTATGCCAACAGCGTTTCGTTCAGAGTGCGCATTGGGTTGTGATCTACTACGAGCCAAAATTGGTGTACGCTCAGATGCACGGTGATTTATTTCCTACACAATTTTAAGTAATAAAAAATTTAAAAGATTAATGCCAACGAACATGGTACCGGTCATATCAATGGCGCATCCATTTCAAAGTGATGCTGCTTGCCACTCATGTTTATTTATTTATTTTTAGGATTTTTCGATTTAAATACAGTTCATTTCTAACAAATCCCATATAATCACAAGTTTAAAACTCTGTAGAAAACTACAAAGCACGCAACAAATTTTCACCCAAATTTCAAATATGAGAAAAAGTTTGAAATATGCGTGAAATTGTGTTGCATTTTTATAGGCTTTGTTAGGGAATGAGCTGTATTTTAACTGAAAATTCTTAAAAATAAATAATTAAACATAGGTGGCAAACAATATCACTTTGAAATGGAGGTGCTATTGATATGACCGATACTGTATATGTATGTAGTATGTACAAATTCAGGTGTTAGTGTAATGAAAAATCAATGGGTCATAGCAAATTGTTTGTATTTGTAACCGTTGAAAACAAACACTCTTAAATTGGAAATATAAAGCGACATGCACTTACTGTATAATCGTCTGTATAGCCATGAATACCAATGTTCTGCGATGGAAGAAATCGGTTATTTTAAAAAGTAGAAAAAAGCAATTCTATTTACACATTGACTTGGACATTAATTATTAGAAATAGAGTAAAAAGACTAAGATTTATTTTATTAAAATAAAATAATTATTAATGAAGGTAAAAAGACTACACCAGGAGGTTCGAAAAATAGTTATCTTTAAATGAACGTTGATTTCTGTAATTAGAACAAGATAGTATTTAAACATTTCAGATATGCAATAACAGGAGAATATGTATGCGTTCTTTTAAAAAAAAGTAGTATTTAATGTTTTTAATTATAAAAAAGAACTGAAGTTCAATAAATTACCTAAGCATTGAGCTCTAGCGAGTATAGGCATTCATTCATCGATAACGTAATTAAATATTTAATTATAAATTTTAACACTCTCAATTTTACTAAAATACTAGGCGTAATCAAAAAAGAAAAATCATAACTCACCGCCTCATAACTTGCCAAAACTGGACCGCGCTCTTCATCTTCATGTGCACTGCTATGATTCACCGGCAAATGAGGTCGAGTTGACGGCAAGCCGACGATTTCAGGATCGTCGACAATAAACAAAAACATTACAAATCCCAAACCCGCCATTATTGTGCCAGGCACAGCAAATGACAGCATCCAATTACTCTCCACAAAGTGGGCGGCTATCAATGTGCCAAGTATATTGCCTACTGAAGTATGACTATTCCAAATGCCGAATATAAGACCACGTTTCGATCTGCCAAACCAACGGGCCATCAATGTGACTACGCCCGGCCAGCCTGTAGTTTGGACAATGCCACCTAATATCTGAACTATAACAAAGTACCACATGCTATGTATGTTCCATGATTTAGCCGCACCAAATAGCAGTGTGAAGAGTCCGGAAAACAACATGCCCAAACTCAAGTAATAACGCAGGGAAACTCGTTCAGCAACAATGCCAGAAACAAACATAGAAATGGCATAGGTTACAAGAAATGCTGAATCAAGTGTACCAAAGAGTGTAGATGCATCGGGCACGTCTATAAAAAAAAAATAAAAATATATAAGCGCAATTTTATGTAGTTTCATTGTAAAATATTTTTCGCTTACCAAAAGGTGGATAGCCACAGTCATTGTCAGTTGTGTTGTTTGGGTTTGTGCAGTTCTCATGTAATACTGATTTCACAACAGATATTGGTTTTCTGGACATGTGATAAGCAGCATATGCCAAGTAAGTGAGAATGATGGTGGATCCCTTAAAGCTGAACGGAAAAATAAAACGGCTTAGAGCATTAAATACATTAGCATATTTGAATATATTCTTGAGTACATTTGAACGATGTGCACATGTATCTATGTACATAAAAAAAATTGACTAGTAATTATATAATTAATTATGAACTTACATGATATCTTTGCGCAATTGCACCCGGGGACAACACACACTACTTAGCTTTTGTGCAACTAATACTCCCAATGGTATGTCGTACATATTAACAGATTTGCGACGACGATGTTGGTGCATAAAAAACCAGCTTATTCAATACTTAACTACAACCAGCCTCCTTGACTATAAAATATGTATTAAAAAATAATCATAAAAGAAATAATTCATTAATACAAATGTATGTATGTATGTATGTATGGATGTCAACAAACTCTAGAAAAACACATGATATAAAAAAATATATCGCACACGGTCTTCACAGAAGAGAGAACTACAAATGACACTCGTCAGAAAATATCAAAAACTACGTTTTCTTAGCGTAAGCTAATCATATGGGCAAGGGAGAATTTACCTTAGGTTTTTCAACAAATTATGACAAAAATTTGCTCCAGCTTATGCTGAAAAGTAAATAAAAGCTGTGAGCATATTTTTAGAGTATACTTAATTTCAAAAATGCCAAATTTTGAGTTGCGCCGGTTTGGAAGATTGTGTGCGATATGTGTATATGCTTGGTTATCGCTATATGTGCACAGAACTAAAACGGAAGCTGTCATCCGGCCACGATGAGAACTAATAGAGAACGAAAGAATGGAGCTATTATGGACAATAAAATGAGGGTCTCTTTTTTTTATAAATAAGGATGCAGGCAAAAAAAAAACAAATTAATTAATTGAAAATTACTGTGCGCATAGAACAATGCGTAGGCGATATCTTATCGTTCGCAAAACTCCAACAATTTACATACATACATATGTATGTATATATGTATCTTGAAATAACATTATAGAAGCCAAATAGCTTGTTTGCTGCAATAGTGAATGTAACTGATTAGCCTGCAGTATGGAGTATTTTGCTCCTGACAAATTATTACTTATGGCTGCGGCAACAAAGTGCAGATTACAATTTATGAAAATCTACACGTCTTTTATGGGTTTAGCGAATATGCAACATAAGTATAAACCTTGCGTGGCTTTTATCTTTTCTATGACTGACTGCATAGAGAAAAATAGTTTTATTTACATACTTTTGCAATGATTCACTCATTACGCAGACGAATTATAAATTTATGCCTCGTTGGCAGAAAGCTAACTAAAAAACGAATGTTTGTGAACATTTGATATTTTTCCAGTTACAATAGAACTGAAAATATAAATGGACACAGAATCTTTTTTGCTACCTTTAGTTCAATTCTTAAGAAACCCTTTTACAATCGATGCCGAAACTGCTGGTGTCTTAAGGATATACGAAGGTTTATCACTTCATTTTCGATTTTGGTTAAATATCTAATATATAACAAAGAACAAAAATATTCACTTTAGCAAAACAGTAGATGATAAATTTGGTGACAACAAAAGCAAAAGTGCCAGACCTGAAAAATCCATTTCAAATTAAATAATCGCGTTGCCAACCGCACGTTTTGGCTGAAGGCAGAAATTATGCTATGTTTTTTACAGTCGCCTATTGGGCAGAGTTGAAAACAATTTCAAGTCAATTACAATCAAACACGTTTAACAATTTACTCGTTACAGTAATCCATACTAACATCTTGAATTTTCACAATCTTATAAAAAAAAGCAAAAATTGGCATCACTATTCCGAACGCTGCCCACACCGATTCTGTGGCATCTCTGCTACAGCGCTGCGCATTGAACTGCCGAAGTCGAGGTTTTCGCTGACTTTTCGGCTATCGCCATCGTCATCAGTAGTTTTTGATTTCGCTTGCGTCGCTTCGCAGTTTGTAATTTCTAGTGCTAATACAAACATCTACAAAAGAAATATCTCTGCCCCTATTAAAAAAATAAAAAAAGTCACTGTAGGTAGCAGCTGCTGACTTCAATTTTTGTGCTAAATCCAGGTACATAAATTGTTTGCAGAGTTTTGTAAACGTTGCCGTGGGCAGAAGCAGCAAAGTGAACGTCCTGGTGAAATTTAGCGGCAAATCATTTGACTGAAAACTTAAAATGGAAAAATTGGATGCAAATCTGGAGACACAATTCGATCTCAATCTCATTGAGGCAGTAAAACAAAACCCGGTTATTTATGACCGTTCACATTATAATTACAAGCACTTCGTAAGGAAGGCTCAAACCTGGAAGCAGATTGCAGAGCTACTAGGAGTCCCTGGTAAGTGTTATGGATACATATATACATGGTAGTTTTAAAGAATATATATTTATGTACCTATATAAAAACTAAATTCTAAATCGAAAAAAAACAGTGGGTGAAGTGTCAAAGTTTACCCGCGTAGGCGAATTATGAAAAACTGCGACCAAATAAAATATTAATGGATTCACAATGGCGACGGGTTAAAGTAAAAATAGGTGCCTTCGTATGTTCGCATGTATGTACATATATGCGTGTATACATAATTGTACTTGTCGTAAATTGCTGCTGTTTTTGTTAGCCGTCGTAAAAGCAGGCGAAGGCAAACGCAAACGGCACGTCGCCGATGTCGTTTTCATTAATTTTTCGTCGGTGCCGATGTCGCCATAGGTGACTGCCTGCGTTGCTGTACTTTGTTGCTGAGTCGTATGCCTGCTGGCTTCTTGCGCTGCAAGTAGAAGCGCGCTTTGGCTATGCGAGGCACAAACGAATTTGTGTAAGTGAGACGGCTATAGCTGTGAATTTTTGTTTGAAGCGCGTCAGTGCAGTGCAGCCGTTTAGTGGGGTAACTACAAAGCAGCACTGCAAAGTCGTACGTCTACGCCAAGTGCAGTGGCAGGCTGCTAAATGCAGCTGCAAACTCTGATCGGCTTTCAGTCTGAAGTAACGAGTTTTTTTGTTGACAACTTGTATATTTTTTTTTGTTTACTCTATTTCCAATTCTGATTCTAAGTCGGTTTTGTTTCCATTTTGGCCCTGCTCATATAGTTGTTTTTGTTTCAAACCAGTTTTTATTTACACTCGTTTCGTTTTCATGGCAACAATCATGTTTACGTTTGTTTACATACCAAATTTTCATTGAACAATATTTTGTCATTTGATAAGTAATGTAGACAAAGTTAACTGCCAAAGTATGTGCGTCAAACTTGTAAATTGATATCGCGACATGTACTATATCGTTTTAATTTATATATTTCAGAACAAAAATGCACAAAACGCTGGAAGAGTTTGCGTGACAAATTTGCACGTGAAATGAAATTGTGTCAGGAATCGCGATGGCGCTATTTCAAGCAAATGCAGTTTTTAGTGGATTCAATAAGGTAAAATATTTTTTATTTTTTTACTTTACTTTGTAATGAGAGTTCTTTAATGCATAAATCGTCTTTTCAGGCAATATCGTGAGTCGCTTCTGGGAAAATGTAATAACGTACAACAAAACACCAATCAGGTTGCACAAGTCGATCCAAACCAGCAGCAACAACAACAGCCCCAGCAACAAGCAGTCGTGGATGTATTCACACAACCATTTAATGGCGCCGCCACAACGTCAACACAGGCCCTCGCTCATACGCATGGTAGGTATCCACTGCTTTCAAGTAATCTGTCTAAACTTTGAGACATCAAGCAAAGTAACAGTTTCTATCTACATACATACACGCATACATGTCGCACCCTAAATCAAAAGGCAGTGTCTAAACTAACGGGCCGTGTATCCACGTTAAAAAATTACCTTAGATCACAGTAAAAATTAACTGAGGATCCACAATTTCTGAAGATGTTTGATGTTTGATTTCCGAAGTGCGCGAGGAACCACCTTTTTAATGTAGATGTACGGTAAAAGATAGGCTGACTTCCAAAACGTATCAATACAATGTTTGGATATTGTTATACTGCGGCATTCAAACTGTTTTTTATGCAAAGTTGCGAAACATTGCAACCACATACATTGCATGTTTTAAATATTCAATATAACAATGAACAATTTTTCTGAATATTCCATTTTTAAAACACCAATGGTAACCAAAAACAAACGAAGCATCAACTTTGTTTCTGATGCGCTGGTTTCTCTAGCGATGGGTTTCGATAACTTTTCGAATGCGTTTTGGAAAAGTATATATTATCACTATTTTGCAGTTCGGCGTAATGGAACATTGTACATCAACTAATTAACAAACTGATTTTTGAATGAATGGCAGTAACTTAGGTATGTACATACATCTATTGTAAGCAAACCAAATACTACGCATGGTGAATACACTGACCATGCGAAATTACGTTGGAAAAATCGATAACCTCGGGTCCACATTAATTTTTGTCGTAGATCTACTGTTAAAAAAATACAGTTATTCGCACGCTTCGAAAATCACTGAATCCACGGTAATTTTTTTCCGCGGATTCGCGGTAAATTCACTTTCTCAGAAATAACCGTGGATCTGCGGTAATTTTTACCAACCGTGGATCTGCGGTAATTTTTACCGTGGATTTACGGTGATTTTTTACCGTGGATTTAGGGTGATTTTTTACCGTGGATCTACGGTAATTTGATTAAGAAAAATTTTGGTGGACGTTAGATATATGGTATGTAAAGTATTTTATGGAAAAAAATATATTTTGAAAAATTTTGAGTTGTGCCGGTTTGGATTTAGGGTGCGATATGTACATACATACAGTTTCTTGATGTTTCATATTTATTTATTAATGAACTTTTTGTTATGCGTCATACTATATACTCAGGTTCACGTTTAGAAATTACAGTTACAGGCGACACTCAAATAGCAGCTTCCGCCGCCAAGGATCAGAAACCATATTTTTATGAACCAGTATTGAAACGGGAACGCACCGAAGAAGATAATCATGACAATATGCTAAACACAATTAAGATTTTCCAAAATTCAATGACACAAGCAGTAAGCGCTGAGGATCAGTCATTCGGTATGGTTGTCACCGATATGCTTAATACACTGGGCGTGCGACAGAAGGCCGAAGCCAAGGTACACATCATCAAGTACCTTACAGATATGCAATTGTTGGCACAACATAATAAATATTAGATTAGGAAGCACATTGTGTTAGATGATTCTCTTTAATTTATGGTGCAGTGTTTTACAGCTACTATTTAAATATTTGAATAGTGTAGCTAACATTCCAACGGATTTTCCTGACGACGAGGAATATTTGAAAATGTACTTCCAAAAAGTAGCAACAAAACCAAATAAGCAAAATCAAGATAAATTTAAGGAACGCCAACAGAAGGTTGGGAACGTTTCTTTGAAGAATTTACTTATGTTAAAAAGCGTTTACTATTTGAAAATTGTCGTAATGCTAACGTTATTAATGTTTACATTCTTTTACTTTTTAGTTGTAAAAAGAACAACCATTATATATGTATGAACCAATATGTATATGCCGTCGTTATCAATACAAGAAGCTCTGTCATATTTTTTTTTTTAATTGCACCCAAAAATTTTAAATTATTTTAAAAAAATTTTGGTTAAGCAGTTTTATATCTCATTAAATTTTAGTAGGAGAAAGTACAAATTTGAAAACACTAGTAATTCGCGTTGATTTTTAACAATTTTTTTTTTCAGACGGTACCAGACATATTCGAGCATACTTTACATAGAAGAAAATGTTCAACACCGTCAGCAAAAAAAAATATATATCTTAAAATTTGCACTTTCTGCATACCTAAAATTTTTTTTAAACAGTTTAAATTGTTAAAGTTTGTTGAATTTTTATAATTTTTGTACAAAGTTCGTAATGTGGATTTATGTGATGGTGGTTATGTAATGTGCCAGACTTTTCTATAAAAATTATAAACATTAAATAGACAAAAGAGAAGTAACAAAAGCTAGTCAAAATGTCACTTACCTTAATCAGCTGACCACAAGTGTACATATATGTATATGTATACACACTAGGGTGGAAAAGTAAAGTCGGCAATTTTATGCTCTCACCCCGTAGGATTGTTCTATACCGAAAAAAATGTACCCTTATGTTTTTATTTTAAAATCAAAAAATATTTAGAGGTTGCTCGAGCGCCCAAAGTTTTCCATGTATTTTGTATGGGGAAAAAACACTTTTCGTAGAAATAGTATAGAATTCTTAAAAATCAATATTTTTCTATCGGAGAACTCTGTTTCTCTGCAGCAGATTCCCAATAATAATACCAATTGTTTATTTAGCCATTTTTTCATCGCAACTATAATTTATAGGTCTGCCAAAAAGCCACTAATCCCCGAAAAATTCAATGGGGGGGGGGGTTGTTTTCAATTAAAAAATCGTTAAATAAACCATTGGGTATTAATATTGAAAATATCCATAGTTTTCCGATCGAAATATATTGATTTTCAAGAATTCTATACCATTTCTACAAAAAGTTGTTTTTTTCATATAAAAATTCAAAATAAAAAATAGGGGCATACTCGAAATTCCGACTTTACTGTTTTTGGACCATCCTAATACACACTCACGAAAAAACTAAATTTTTTGGCATCCTTATTTGCATTTCTTATTTTAATAATCCTTTTCGTTTCTACAAGATTATACTGTTTCATTTAGAGCCTTTTGCATTGTTTACGATGTGCGTTTTATCATTTGCTTTAAGTATTTTTTGCCATTTAAACGCAAAACAAGATATGATGTAACCCCAGAAAATTTGGCCCTAGTTGATCTGTTTGGAATTGAATTCGAATAAGTTTACACTAAATGTAATTGTAAGAAAAGAAAATGAATTAAAAGTTATTTTAATAAAATCACGTGTTTTTCATTTTTTGAAAAGGAAAGGAAAAATTCTCGCAGCAGCGTTCTCCTACAAATGCTGCAATCCCCATAAATGAGCACAACACAATGCTCAGCAAGTAATTCTTAGTATAGAGCCGCAGACGTGGACACCCGAACGGACACTTGCTTGCAGAGGAGCCCCCGGCAAGGCACGTCAGAAGGCATCTATACGAACTGACGGACGAAGTCCAGAGGTTCATAAAGCAACCTCTCTATCCGACAGCATACCGACAAGCCTTGAGCGGCATACACAGAAAGTCGGTCTCAAGTTACATAGAGCTTCGTCTGCCTCGGGGGACTCGTACCACAATAGCCCAACTTCGCTCTGGCCACTGCAGCAGGTTGAACTCGCACCTGAGCGGAGACACCCCCGACTAGAAACATCTCTTCGCATGCCCACAAAACCCCTCAACTGACGCGTCTGTCCCTATGGACAGACCCTATAGAGGCCGCACCCTTCTTTAGATGACAACGATTGATAGACTAGCCGATCTGGGTGGGGTAGTTGTAGCCCCTACAACAACAAAAATGATGGAAGCCTAGACATTTTCCGGGCCTATACCAAATAGGCAATATTCTACTAAAGTATGTACCCTTACTTTTTCAGTAGTAGGATATCGATGAATTGCCTTGCCGGTTACTATTTCAGCATTAGGTTTATTAAACATTCACCGCAATCGAATATTGCTTTTTCGCTAAAGTTTACCTAATACCAGTACAAATAACTTAACACTTTTAATTCTGGTTCAACTTTTTACAACAAAATGACCCAGTTATTAACTTGCGACTAAAACTTTTTTAATTTACTTAGTTGATTATTTCGTCGGAGACCTTGTTTCCGAAGGCGTCGCCAATATTGTTTCGTTTCTGGATCCATTTCCTCCACAGGTATAATCCGATCAACATTGAGTGACCAAAGCCAGTCAGGATATTCCGAATCAGGTTTAAGCTACAAAAAATGTGAGTATCATCACATGTATATGTAATTTTTGGAGACAACCTACCTTGATATCCTGGCCGGTTTTTAAGATATTGCTGCCGCAAACATAGTTAACCAATTTGTTGGCATCTGTTTCAACTGGAATTTCTTTCTTTTCTACAATCGGACCGAGCTTTCCAAGTTTCTTCTTTTTTCCACCAAGTGCAGCTAGATATTTTAATCAGTAAGGGTTGGATCATGCATTTATTTTACATCTTACCAGTTGCGGGCTTCGCAAATGAGCGTGCCAAAAATTTGGGTGCTAGCCACCTCTCTCCTAGAATATTTAGGGTTTGTGTAAAAGTATTAATATTCATTTCAAAGTCAGAAATGTAGTAAAAAGAACTTGGAATTTCACACAGCTAATAAGGCCAATTTGTACGAGTTGTATAACCTCAAATACAAATCAGCTGTTCTGCGAAATGAGAGGGCTGCCAGAAAATAAAACAGTTCGAATAAAAATAAAGGTATACCTCCACACCCAACTTACTGGCAAATGACCGATTACCTGACGGTCAGTGCTGATGCAATAATGCTGCAATTTCCTCAGCAGAAATTCCGGGGTAATATGAAAAACCTGACCAGTTATTTTATGTAGATGTGACTATGCGTCCCTTTCTCACATGGGGATTTTACCAGCAGTGCTAGAAGGTCTCTTTTCTACTTATTGTATTTCCTAAGGTTATTTTTACAAATGTTTTTCTGTATATTGGTGTATATATTAGTGTGTTAGTGAAGAGGTGAGAAAAAAGTCCTTTTCTTGTAGGGTTACGATTATCCTTGGTTAATTGACGGATTTCCCAAAATGTTTCGGTTCGTATCGCTGGATTGTTAAATAAACACTAAGGGCCGGTTACTCAAAGTCTGGTTAATCTTCGGTTAAACATAGTTATCGTACCGACACCGTGTTGGATGCACGGTAAAGTAGTGCAACTATGCATAACTGGGCTATTAATCTCTGTTTTACAACTTAGTAGCGGCCTTATATACCTGCGCTCGAACTCATGGGAAGTCCTCTTTCAGACACGGCAAGTCTTGAAAGCAATTATTTTCGCATTCTCTTTTGTGTTTTCTATTTGCTTCCACACGCGTCAACTTTAATTGAATTCAAGTCCTTGGTTCAAGAAAACTTGAAACGAAGTGACGGTACGGAGGTATCTGTACTCTTCCCCTCTCTTCTCACCTCCTTCGCCTACGAACGAGCAGACTTTAAAGCAAGACTTGCCGTGTCTGAAAGGGGACGAACTCTATACCGTTCTACCGTCTATCACTCATTCTCTCGCTGTTCGCAGTATTCATCCACTTGACGTCGAATATTCTACGTCATTCCCCGAGCATTCTGCTATTTTCTTGTTGTTCGCTTCGGGTTGCTGCAGTATTCGCCACAGCCCTCCACATAAAGGCCAAGATACAATAGCGCAGTGGCAGTGGCAGTGACAGTTTTTAAAATCAGCTGTTACTGTTAATATTGGCAGTCACTACCGCAGCAAATACAATACGGCGTTGTCAGCGACAGCTTTTTTGACATTCCCTTTTGTTTGATTACGTTTTTGTTGTTGTCTCTTAGGCTTCAGTGACATGAAGAAGTTGGCTGCATTTTATTTATCCAAATGTTTGGCCGATAAATCAATGCGTGTGTAGGGCGTTTTAGGGACCAATTAATTTCCTTCACGTTCAACTGTCAAATCTATTACTTGATTTTTGTGGAGAAGTGTAGATGTGTGAATTTTTCTTCTGGGTGATCGTTGGCTCTTTCCAAGTGTAAAAAGTTTTTTGCATTTTTTATATCTTTGTACAACAGATTTATCAATTCAATAAAACTGTATGCATAAGTAGAGAGACTGAATAAAACGCTTTTAACCAGTTTCGAACATTTGCAGTGAAGTGTTTGGGACTGCGTGTGTTGTTATTGTAGAAATCAGATAGAACGATTGAGTCACAACAGAAGTGGCCACTAAAACTCTTGAACTTCGCAAAAATAAAAAAAAATTGTCGCCCTTTAGTTGAAATCCACTCATTGGCGAAATGGAGCAAACACAAATAAGCGATGCCGAGAAAGTGCGAATCGTTTCTGATTTCATTATGCATGCACCACCTGGCGAATTTAATGAAGTCTTCACCGATGTACGTCAATTACTCAACAATGATGCGCTGCTAAAAGAGGGCGCCAGTCACGCCTTCGCACTATACAACAAAGAGCAATTAACACCAGTGCACATTGAGGGCAGTGAAAATAATGCACTTATTTCAGAGTATAATGATTTGGGTAAGTTCTTATTCACATCGCATGGAACAAAAGCCAAGTTAAATATAACAGCTAGAGAGAGGTACTGTTCGGCAAAAAATAACTATCTACCCATCCAATTCCATTGATCAGTTACGTAGTCATACCATGCGATTGAGTCATAATTAATTTAAAAATAACATTTACCACCATACCTTAATTGGTAGCTTTACATGCAATATGTATTTGTATACTTTTAAATCGTTATCTTGAGATTTAGATACATACCTATTTGTTGACTTTTTTTAATAAATGTTGGAACCAACAACTGATTTTACTTAAGCAATAAAACTGCATATTGATAGATATTGGATAACTTTTAGGCTGCCTAAAAAAAGGTTCGAGTGATAAGAAAATCATTTTTATATTTACATATCGTCCCCTGAAATGCAAAAAGACGTAACAAACATCATCACTGAAATGCAAAAAGTCGTAACTTATAAAAAATTCAAAATTCACTTTTTGATTGTTGTCATACTAAAAAGACTAACTTTTTCGGTGTGTCTTACAACCAGTTCATGGAAAATGTAAAGGATCAACTCCATACGTAAAAAACCCTGCTTTAAAAATGGAAGATATAACGGATCCTAAATGAATTCATATTTCAAAAGTCCGAGTCATATTGTTGTTATTTAGTTTATACTTTTCATGTGTAATTGTTTTTAAGCGCAACGCTTTGGTGTTAAGCGTTACGCATAAATAAATCTAGATATTCTAATACGCAAGATATGTACAGTTCCACCCGGGGAGTGGTCTAATTCGTGCAATGCCTGTTCGCTCAACTAAGATTGTTCATAGAGCTCAAATCAAGAGTTTAAATATCCTTTAAGTTAATTCATTTACTAATTAAAAACCTTTTATTCAAAACATCATGTTCAACTGAAACAATTTTATACTTAAAAATTAATTCCATTAAATTCTTTTGTTGGTTTCATTTTGTACTTAAAGACACTCCTTGGCTTCATCTTTAAAATGTCGAAGGACAAGTGTATTATCAAAAGAATTCGAATTTTCTTCGGCCCACCCGATAGCTTTTAAATATTTTATTTTGTGTTCACTCAACTTAGTACAAAAAATGTCGCCCGTTTAATAATATAACGAAGTATATCCAAATTCCAATTTTGTGGGAAAACGCAATCAAAGTTTTAATCAATTCATACAGTTGGTATACATACAAAAAAGATAGATGGAAAGACATATTTTGGAAGTTTGGTAATCTGTTAGACTGAACATATTCTACTTATCAAGCTTATTAATTGTATAATAAAATCTCGAAAAAGTAAATTTTGAGTTACATATCTATATTATTAAATGTGCGATTGCACTGTATTTGTAAATTTAAAAGAAAATAGTTATAACTAATTTGTATTTAAATTTAAAATAAACTACATATATTTAATATAAAAAATATTTACACTTTACAGGCAATGGTCGTTTTTACGATCCCCGTACCAAGCAATCTTTTAAATTTGATCACTTACGTAAAGAAGCTAGCGATTACCAAGACATGGAGCCTGACGCCACAGCAGAGCCATGGCGCGCCGCTCTCGATGTAGAAGCGATCAACTACACCAACAGTCATTATAGAAATGGAGTATGTATGGGTGCGTTCGAGCTACGTAATAATTACCGCAATACTGCAGCCTTGTTGCCTTCTTGATGATATGTTGCTGATGCTCAACTGAAAATATTCTGAAATGCTGCAAAAATTGTGCAGTAAAAATTTTTATGTTGCTTTTGATTTGCAAAGAATTAGCAACGGATCGTCAAAATTTTGTTTCTCGAACCCTTGTCGTAGGCAGAGTCGCCCAAATTTTCGCGTGTCTTTCATTAAATGTAACACTGGCGCATTAATTGCAGCTCGAATTCACCCTATCTGACTTATTGTTTTCTTTTAACACGAAGGTGTCATTAACCAAATTTCTATTATAAATATAGGTTTCCTCGGTTTTTGGAAAATCACAAGGCGGTCAAGTCACTCTAACACTTTGTATTGAGGATCATCAATTTCAACCAAAAAACTATTGGAATGGCCGATGGCGATCACAGTGGAGTATTACTGTACAATCGGGCAATGGAACTGCTGAACTAAAAGGCGTGCTTAAACTACAGGTTTGTAAAATCACACAAATTTGACTTGGGTTGTGGACTTTCAATGTAAGAATGAAAAGCAAATTTATGATAGAGAGTCTAAGATGTTATCTTGCTCCGTACGTGTAGCTGCTTTAAAATTATTACCTTCAATGTTAAAATGTTACTTCATATCCTGAGCCTTCTGCTGAAGAATTTTTTTTTTTTTTGTGTTCTATAAAACAAATTCTAAAAATGTGTCAACTTAATTTCTTTAATGCTGAGGGTCAACTCTCGTTCTACGTTATTGCGAAGTGATAAAAATAACACAATTACACCGCATTTATTTCGGTGTTAATTTTATACTTTTCACTTCACTTCACGATAACGCAGAATGGGAATTGACCCTCTGGTTGTCCTTTATCACAGGTGCATTATTATGAGGATGGTAATGTGCAACTAGTTTCTACCAAGGAGTTCCGTGAATCTGTAGTCGTTTCCAATGAGCAGCAAGTCGCAAAAGAAGTTATACGTTTTATCGAAGAAGCTGAAAACGAATATCAGTTGGCTATTTCTGAGAACTATCAAACGATGTCTGATACAACATTCAAGGCGATGCGACGTTTACTACCAATCACGAGAACTAAAATTGACTGGGGAAAAATTGTAACTTATAGTATCGGTAAGGAATTAAAAACGCAATAAAATCCGGTCGAAGTCAAGGCATCGCCGAGGGTGAAAATTATATTGGTAGGAGAAGTCGCACAACAATTAAAATACAACATTCTGAAGCGGCCTACCAGTCTTTGTTTAGCTGTCAAACATAAATAAGTCCAAATAAATAAGTCCGAATTATGAAAATGTTGTGTAATCTAAAATTTTTATTATGCAAAGCATCTTTACATGATATTAAATTTATTAAGAAAATCTATTTATAATCACAAGCAGAATATTCAGTTAGCTGTTTTCTTGTTTCTATCCTTGACAAATTTCCGCGCTTCGTGCCGAGTTTTCAATAGATTAAAGATATCTTTCTTTACGTACACTGCTGGAGCAAAGTATTGGCACAGCAAATTTCTCACAATATATGCAACAATTTTCGTTCTAATATTTTTCCGCTAATTTCGTATAAAAATATGGTTCATTCTAATTTTCATGCAAATTTTCAACTTTTTAATCAGATTTTTTAGATTTTTTTGAGTATGCAGATTTGTAGCCCAATCAATTTTATTATAATAATTTGCTGAATTTTCGCGAGTTTTACACAAAGTTTAGGAATTATATTTTTATGTTTTTTGTTGTTGAATGAACCATATTACCTCCCTTTTATTAGCTCGGGATGTAACTATGTAATATTGATGCGCCTAAAAGATGCAGCGATTTCTATTCTTAAGTTACATACCTGATGACAGTACGAATGGAAATTATAATAGCGAGGTTTTAGGTTTTTAAACTATAATTTTATTTTTATACAAAATTGGCGAAAAAATATTAGAGTAAAAATTGTTGCATATATTGTGAGAAATTTGCTGAGCCAATACTTTGTTCCGGCAGTATATATTTCTGTGTAATTTCAATTTTAGATTTCATTTACATTTTTGAAAAACAAATGAAACACTTGCATAACGTAGCCCGCAAGAGTTTATATACATACATACTTATATAAATATATATAACTAATGGTGGCTATCATTGTTTAGCAGTGTAGTGCTGCATTTCACAGCAATTTCATCACCATTGTCGCCTTTGTCGTTGAATGCAGAAATTAAGAAAATTAATTATAATAAGGTACTAAAATAGATTAAAGGAGTTTTAATAAAGTTAGTTTACAACACAAAAATTGAATATGTGCATTAATTAGTTATGCAATGGCATGCAAAAATACTTTGGATAGTTTATTTGGGTTTTTTGCAAGCTGAACTTCCACTAGCTCCTTAATTAGTAAATATGTATGTATTTGTATGTGTATTATGATAAAAGTACTAAATAAAAGTTCGGCGCTCTCTTATTTCTTTAGAAAGTGAAGCCTGTGTTTAATAAAGAGTTGAAAAGTCGTATGTACACTGGTGCTTAAAAGTTTAGTATAAAGTTAGGTTTATAAAATTTTTTTTATTGCTGTGGTCAAAAAGTTACCAAACGCTTGCTATTTCTTTTATGGTGCTAATCCACAACGTTATGACAAGTTTATGGTGTTTCTGCACATTAGCTACATTCGAAAGTTTGTTTAAACAATCGACAGCTATTCAGTTTTTTCTCCCTCAATTTTCTTTATCAGAAAACGTTTATCCGGTTGTGAACGCACCTCCAGTTCCAAACGATCCAAAAACCAACCTTCTTCCGGTGTTCGGGTTGCCCAAAAGAACATCTTGCCTAATTATTGACTTTGTCAATCATTAAATATTTTGGAATTGTAAGTATTTGTATTACCTTTATCATTGGCGCCCTTTACATGCACTTCAAACTGAGCTTGCTGTCCATCTGCAAAATTTTTGCTGTCACTTAAATCGAAGCCATGTTCTTTGATAGGTTCGCCCAATAAGCTCACCGCCCCTAAGGACAACTTTTTAAGTTATTTTCGCTTAATATGTAGTGCAAATATCTGATCTAATATTAATATATACATATGTACCATTAAACATATGTATATATAAATATACCTTTATGTTGTCTCAATGTCTGGATTGCAAGCCGAAAATACTCCGAATTTCTTATGCGATCCTCTATTTTGTAACGCATGTACATCACACCCGTTATCGAAGCAAATGCGCCGTATACAGCAATTGTTCCGAGAGTTTTATTGGACGGGAAACGCATTTTTTTATTATGAAAAAATATCCTTTAATTCAAGATATCCTTTTGAAATGCTTTCTGGTCAAATAATCATTGCGTACAATTCTTCCTCAATGCCAATAACTTTCGGAGGAGGAAAGGTGAAATCAGTCAAGAACGTAAACTTACCGGTACGTAAACCCGAGTCAGCTGATACGCTCTGTCCAAGGCGAATTTATACAAGGTGGCAAGGCGAATTTATACAAGGTTGTGCAAGGCGATATTATCAGTGTTGCCATCTTTTGATTTTCAAAAAGCACCAAAAACTTGGAAAAAAAGCGTTTTACCACACTAAAAGAACCAAATTTTTTTGAATCAAGGGATGTTTTTTTCATAACATAATACCGAAGTACTGAACAATAAAACTGGTATATCTCTTGAAAGAAAAATCGAATCGCAACAAACGAAAATGATGCCCTCGCGTTACTGCTACCTTGCTGCTAAATTCTCAGAACTTTTGCTGCTGGAATATTTTGTCCTCTCAATACGAGTACACACCAAGAATGATAGAGTACAAGATCAGAGAGGATTTTTGAGAATAACTTTTGTATGACGACACACTGGTGCAATTGCGAGAGAAATGCCAAAACGTGAGCAAGAATCATGATTCAATAATACAAGGTTAGATAATTATTGACAGCTTCGGTTTGACACTCCCTTACAAAAGGTTGCATTTACGAAGGAGCGAGAAAGGGGAGGAAAGCAATCCCTTGTTGGGAAAATGGTAGTAGAAAAGTACGCAAAGTAGGCAATTAGTAGTGAAATTCCTTTTGTAAACTCTAATGTATTTGCAGGAAATCAGGCATTTTAAACGAAATATTTAACGAAACAATAATATATCTATTTGAATTACATAATTTATGTGCTATTTAGCTGTATAAAAACTGCAAAACACTCAAAATTTAAAAACAAACTACTATGAAATTTATGTATACTTCCAATTTAAAAAAACTTATGTTTTCATCAGTTAAATTTGCTTCATATGCATATACAAATGAACATATTGCACAATAGCTTATACTTCTATTTCACAGCAAAGCTACACTTTTTCCAAGTAAATTTGCAAAGAAGCAATACGGTGCCACTGTTAAGGGAGCGGTGCGAGAGAGACAACTGTCAGTTTATCGAACCTTGTATTATTGAATCATGCCCAGCAGTAGCGCTCTGAGAGAATAACACCGTTAGGAATTTTTAAACCGTTAATCGTATTGTGTTCGTAGAAATTAAGAATTAACACGTTTTAGAGGATAAGAATAATTCAATAAAGTACACTGAGGGAAAAAATTTTAGAATTAAAAAAAAAAGTGCTAAATTTAAAAAATACGCATATGAAAGAGCACTAACCCAACTCGTTTTAAATTTGAGTATGTACGTTATAAAATATGTCGTTGTGAAGTGCACAGATGCTTTTTCGTAATTAAGAAGGAAGAAAAAATTGATTTTATGTTCCGCCGTCTGATGGTAATTGAATTGGACCCTCTCGGCAGCAACCAATTGTATCAAGCGTCTTTGCACACTCAGCTAAAGCCATACATGTAAATGTGTTTTCAAATGTTGAGTTTGAATCAACATCACAGCGCGCGATTATGCATTATGTCATACCATGATTCAATAATACAAGGTTAGATAATTATTGACAGCTGCGGTTTGACACTCCCTTACAAAAGGTTGCATTTACGAAGGACAGAGAAAGGGCAAGAATGCAATCCCTTGTTTCGAAAATGGTAGTAGAAAAGTACGCAAAGTAGGCAATTAGTAGTGAAATTCCTTTCGTAAATTCTAATGTATTTGCAGGAAATCTGGCATTTTAAACGAAATGTTGAACGTAATATTGATATATCTACGTGAATTACGTAATTTATATGCTATTTAGCCGTATAAAAACTGCAAAATGACTCAAAATTAAAATAAGACTACTATGAGATTGATGTAAACATCCAATGCTTAGGTTTTCATCAGTTAAATATGCTTCATATGCATATACATATAAACATATTGCACAAAAGCTATACTTTTATTTCACACCAAAGATACACTGTTTCCATGTAAATTTGCAAAGAAGCAACACGGCGCCACTGCTAAGGGAGCGGTGCGAGAGAGACAACTGTCAGTTTATCGAACCTTGTATTATTGAATCATGAGCAAGAATGGAAGAAGAAAAAATGTTGCAAGGAAAACGTAAACAAGTTGCACAAGTATGACGTCATGCAAACAACGATTCTGTCAAATTCGTTAAGAGAGGAATAGCGGTCCGAGATCGCCGCAAACCTTTGTATTCTCTCAATCGTGAATACACACGATTATTATTATCCAACAGCATCGGCGAATCCATATAGTAAAAGCGTTTGAATTTGGCATCTGTGATACCAACAGGCTCACGTTCAGTCAAGCATAAACCAACTACTATGAAATTACTTGCTGGAAATTGCACCTCAATTAATGTGTACGGAGAAGCTATGTTGAAAGTTAATCTGGACCCACGCCGCCAGTTTGTGTGAACGTTCTTGATTGCCGATGTTACTTCTGGAATAATAGGCGCAGACCTTATCAGGCATTTTGACCTACTCATAGATTTAAAAAAACAAATCGAATCATTGATAATACCGCGTCTTTGCAATCCATGGCCCAGGCAGTTACGGGCTCATCAACCAAGTCATTCGACTCCGTTCGCGGATTTATTAGGCAAATTTGCAGAAATAATACGACGTTCATAGCCCGGCGTTATCACAAATTCTTCAGTGGTGCATTACACCGGCGCGCGGTCAACCTGTCTTCGCTCGTCCCCGACGCCTGGCGGCGGATAAACTACAAGCAGCGCGCGCTGAGTTTGAAAGCCTAATGAGACTAGGTGTATGTCGGCAGCCCCTGCGGAGACTACAGGGCATTAAATGCCATCACAGTACCGGATAGGTACCCGATACCTTATCTACAGGATTTTACCAATATTTTGCGAGGCAAGAAAATTTGCTCCAACTCGATTTGCAAAAAGCTTTTCACCAGGTGGGTGCCGGTAAGATTGTAATATCCACACCCTTCGGTTTATTCGAATTTGTGTACATGACCTTTGGTTGGCGCAATGCAACAAACTATTCAACGGCTTATACACGAAGTTGTGTGCGGGTTGGACTTCGTGTTTGCTTATATGGATGACATCTGTATCGCATCAACAAGTCTAGCTGATCACTGATCGCATATCCGTCAGCTCTTTGAAAAAAAATATAATTTAGCTATCAACGTGTCAAAGTCAGAGATCGGTCGTAGCCAAATAACATACCTCGGGCATTGTCATTCCAAGGTATTCGCCCCCTTTCAGAGCTCGCGGAGGCCATACGCAAGTTTGAGAGGCCTTCAACGGTGAAGGATTTGAGAAAATTCTTAGCGGTAATAAACTTTTACCGACGATTTGTTCCACACGCATTGGGTTCGCAGGAGTCAAGTGAAACGATATCTGCATTTGAGCTGCGAATTGGGCCCTTCTCGCGCATCCGTCAAAGAATGCAGAGCTATCACTTTGGGTAGACGCATCTGCCACTACGGCCGGTGCGGCACTACACCAGGTTGTCAAAGGAGCTCTTGAGCCTCTTGGTTTTTTCTCTAGGAAGTTCGACAAAACACAACTGCGTTATAGTACTTACGATCGCGAGTTAACAGCGATTTCTTTGGCCATGCGGCATTTTAGGTTTATGTTGGAAGGTAAGAGTTTGTCACGTCTATACTGACCATAAACCAACTACCTTCGCTTTTAGACAAAAGCTGGAAAAAGTTTCGGATTGGCAAGCACTACAAAAAAATTGATGACGCAGCGATTCGTTTAGCCAGGCATTCAGAAAGACAGCAGGGAGTTTGTTAAAGCGTGTATCCGATGTCAACCTGTTAAGGTTCATCTGCATACATCTTCACAACTGCAGCGCTACGCACTACCAGATAATCGCTTCTCTCACATCAACGTGGACTTAGTGGGACCGTTTCCGCTTAATAACGGACTCCGCTACTGTCTCACTATAGTCGACAGATTCACGAGATGGCCAGAAGCTGTCCCGATCGCGGACATGACCGCACCCACGGTTACACGAGCGCTGATTGAAGGTTGGATATCTATATTTGGAGTTCTATGCGCAATTACGTCCGACCAAGGACGTCAGATTCAGTCCTCGCCTTTTGCTGAGCTCATGAGAACCTCGGGAATAACACATCTTAAAACCACTCCTTACCAAACACAGTTCAACGGGTTGGTAGAGAGATGCCATAGACCAATGAAAGGGGCAATATTGTGCCATAACCACGAGCGCTGGGTTGAATATTTACCGACCATTTTGTTGGGTCTGCGTACGTCGTACAAGCAAATGCAGAATAGGGGTCAAAGTGTGTATGATCTTAGTGTAGCAATGTAAAATGTTCTTCATTTTTATTCTGATTTTTCGATGGCTATTCTGAACCAGATACTATTTTCATAGAAATTACATTTTTTCGTAGGTTTCAGTATAAGGACATTTTAAGCAAGTATGTGTGTAATTATCATCAGTTTCATTGTAAGTGTCGGGTCCAAATTCGTGCTCATGCGTGGCTTTCGTTTCCTTCGTGAACAAGCTACTTCGCATTTCCATACGCAACTGTTTCATTTGCTTATTATACTTTTTAACTTTAGTTACTTCACGCTGTTCTTCTCGCAGTTCGTGTTGACGACTCAATTCCTCTTCTGTACCCCAAACCTCCATTGCACGTTTCTCCACTTGCATTAAAAGATAAAGTTTCATTTCCCCCCATCGCACATTATGCGGGTTCTTTCGGCTAATATAGCGCAACGGCGGATCACGTCTGTCAAAATCACAATCCTTAAGCAAGTACTCTGCTTTGGCTTCAGTTCGCGTAATTAACGAGTGACGACCATCTGGGTCTCGACATTTGTCACAAACTGAATGTCCGAAATTACTCAATAGGTACGATTCAACAAAAGCATCTCCGCAGTCTAAACATTCCTCAAAGGTGATCGGTATTGAAATAGCGTCATTTGAAACTTTATTGATTTCTGTGCTGGCAGCTCCGGTTGTAATTGGCTGTCCACTAGTTGGAATGACTGCTTGCTCCAAGAGAAAACCACCACCGCTGTCTATATATTTAGCGCCTTGTACTTTAATTACGGATTCTTCGCCGGCAACACTGTTTATGTTTCTTAAAAGGAAATTTTGACATAAGTACATATACATATACGTATTTATATTTAAGTAAATCCGTTTTCACTAAAATTACTTTTTTTGATATGGGTGTGCAACCAACTTAGCTTGCCTAAGATGTAGCGCTTTTATGCGATTACGTTCTATGCGCGCCTTTTCCGCGTCAGTAAGAACACGTCCCCCGGTTTCCGTCATGCTCCCGTTAATTTAGTGCAATAAACTTCAAAAATAAATGAAGATGCAACTGTGATTAAACAGCTACGACTTTTTTGTTTTGTTTTTAATAGTAGTGATGAAGAACTATCGATGGTTTCATTTTGCCGCCAGTATCGAATATTTCTAAACACTATCGATAGTTGTATGTTGTTCACATTGGTGGAATTTGACTATAAAAGATCATTGGCGCATATTCATAGTCATATTTAGTACTCAACTAAGTCGAAACTATTCTAAGGCTATCTGCACACTTGTCGTCCAATCATAGTTGCGTTATCGTCTCGCCCTGAAATTTTGAGCCGAGCACATGCATTTCAAAGGAGATCTGCACACTTGTCGTTATCGGCTAGTTATCGGCAAATCGTAGAAGATGCAGAAACGGATAAGTACGGCTCTGTCGTTTGCTAATCGTTGTGCACGCATTGTTTGTTTACATTTTATGGGGGAAAATTAGTGAAAAAGTTAATATTTGCATTAAAATTGTATAAAAATTAGTATTTTTTGCATAAAATCTGTGGAAATTATTAAAAAGTGGATAATTGCATTAAAATTTAATAAATATGAGCGTTTTAACTATAAAATATGACGAAATTGTATTAAGTCTCTGTGTGCATACACAAAACACATTCCAGGAAAAGAAAAGAAGAGATATTACTGGAAAATTACCTCTAGAAATGTTGCAGCACAGTCTATATTTAAAAAATTGCAGGTTTTTGTAAATATTTCGCGAAAATATCAACCAAAAAAAACAGAAAATACCTGCTCCAAGTGAATTTTTAGACGCCAAATGAATTGAAATATCACGACCAAGTGTGCAGAAGTGTAATCGTCATGTAATCGTTGCTTCATGACGATAACTATGACTCAACTATGATTGGACGACCAATGAGCAGAAAGCCTAAGTCACAACTAAAGCTATTCATAGTCGCCTTAGTTTCGACTTTTCTGGCTAATACCAACTTAAAATTTAGTTTCGGCTGCAGTTGCAACTAAGTCGTAACTAGGAAGAAGTATTTTATCAAATTAAGGGAAAACAGACGAAATATGTAAAAATTAAGTTGGTAGAGGGTGATTTTGATAATATTGAATAATCTCCAATTAAAATTTACAAAGATCGATCCATTTTATTCGGAAGATGAAATTAAATGCGTATTACAATTCGAATAAAGCTAAATCACAAATTTATAATTGGAATAATTTAGATAAATTCTCAAATAATAAGTCAGTTTCGCGCTAGTTCTTTTAAAGTAAATTTGTGCATAACATTTAGATATCTACTATTTGTATGTTTCACTGCATGCTTTCGATAAATATCGGCTTCACATCACTGCGGTTGTTCTGGCTATTTCACACAATTAACAAGAAAAGATACCTTATTGTTTTGCATAATCATGCAATGAAAATAAAAATTACATAAACGGATGATCAAACTTGACATTATTTAATAAAAATGTAATTTTTCCAAAATATCGTAAAGAAAATCGATACATTTTCACACTCATTTTGCTATATCGTAAACTAAGTCGGCACTTAGTAGAAGTCTGAAATGCGACTATGAATAGAGGTAAATTTTAAGTTGGTACTTAAATTTAAGTTGCAACTTTGTTAGTTTCGACTTAGTTGTTGGACTATGAATACGCGCCATAAAATTTACATTAAACAATAGAAATCGGAAAAATTAGCAAATAAAATACTCACTCCGTTTTGTTTTGTTGTCAATTTCTGAGAAATGTGAATTCACCAAGAAGCAATACAGAAAGAAGAAGGACCAGGGATGTAGTTTTAAGTACCCTATTATTCACTGGCATGCGCAGAGCGTCCCGAGTGGCAAAATTAATTTGCATCAAATATAACATTAAACGGTGGTTCTAATCCATTTTCCATATTATTAATCAAAGTATATACATTATATGGTAAATGTCAACGAAAACACCAACAGTCGGTGTGAACAGCCTTCAGCTCACAATCCCAAAGCTCGTTTTCAAGGTGTTTTCGTTGTCGGTCAGAACATGGCATTACCCATTTTGTTGAGTACGGGAATGATTTGTGGGCTGTTTTGGGCACTCGCGGGATCCCGCGTCGCGTACGGGAAAGAACCTAATAGTATATTTTTCACCGCTGATACCATGTTCGGACCGACAACGAAACAACTAGTTGCGTTCCAGATAACTTCGTGTAAAAATCTGTAAAACTGTCAAATAACAAAATTACTCTCTTGAAAGACAGGAGCGAGAGCGAAACAATAAAGGTCACCTGGAACGCGAAAAACCACTTTCCTGTAACTACTACGATTTTTTTTTTAAAGTAAAGTGCCATGGAGACGATCAAATATCTTTATCAACCGTCTCGCGTTATGCTTGACAAAAAACAAGCGCATTTGCCTTCTGGTCGTCGTGGTGAGCAAGTGCGCGGACAAGAAAAAAAAAATGTTTGTTTAATTGACGACTTTATTTGAACGTTTGCGGGCCAATCTCATACATATGCAATGCTTGAAGTATTTATTTAATTGTCTCTGTGGCGCTTAAGGTTCTGTTTTTGTCGTTTGACACTTTTCATGAACTTGCAGGAAGAAAAACTTCGGACTAAAACCTGCAACTTCTGACTGAGAGAGAGAGCAAGTTACTCTCACAAAAGTGGTTTGACTTACAGGTTTTTTGGCACCTGGATCGCTTTCCTGCAAAAAAAAACCGTGAATATCGTGAGCACCTGGAACGCAACTACTTTGTAAACGAGTTTTGGTATTGTGGGCTCAAAACACCGGCTGTTAGTGTTTTCGTTGACATTTCTTACACCTTTTGATTACAGTTTTGCTACACAAAAATAAAACGAAAATACTTTTTCTTCATTTTCTTTTCATTTACAACCTTTTACTTTTATTCTTATTTTACTTTGGCCAGCAAATGGCGTATTAAAAATGATAAAATATTACGGTTACTTCTACTTGAATAAATAATCGAAAAATACTAGTAAAGGCACCGATTGGAATGAGTGGAACGTGAGTTTTCAAGTAGTTTTCAGCGAAAACTGGTTTTCGTTTGACAGATTTTACATGGACGAAAACACAAGTTTTAGGTCGAAAACTAGTTATAGTATCGAAAACATGCTTTCGATATCGGTCTGAACATGGTATGAGAAGCTTTGCTTGCAAATCGAGTAAACTAAATAGTGTATTTACAAATATTTATGTAAATTAGTACAAATTAAAATGAAATAAAAAAGAAACCGAGTTTATAAAAACTTTGTAAAAATTAGTACAACGGAGTAATGATGCATTAAAATGTGTTGTCATGTTGAAATAACTCTTCTTTAGTAAAATAAAAGTGGAAAAGTGTAGTACTTGTGATGTAAACAAACACTCAGGTGACGAACCCGCTTCCACGAATTTTTTTTCTCAAAACCAGTTACAAATACAACGTTGCAACACTCCCCAAAAAGTCTTTGGGGAATTTGTATGCTGCTACAACAACAACAACAACGTTGCGTTCTTATGTGATCGTGTAGTTAAGGTTCATGGAAATAGTTAGCAAAGCCCAGCAAAGCGTGTGGAACAAACTTAACAAAGTGTGGCAACACTGCTTTAATGACAATTCCACTGTCCAAAATGTGGAAGCAACATTTGTGGATGACATGTTGCCGAAATCTAAGGGATGCCAGACTTTTGGTTGCTTGGTATTATTGCAATGCTTTTGGAGTTTTCCTATCAAACGATTTAACAAACATATCCTTTGAGCTATTTGCTATAATTTTCAGAAAGTTTTTGTTCAAATTTCTTTGTCTGAATAGTTAACAAGAAAACGGATGTTTGATTAGCAGGAAGTCCAACGGAATTGGCAACACTGCTTGAGTGAATGCATTTGTTTTGTTGCTGGAAGTTCATTTGTTGCTGAGCGAGCGTTGAGATCGGTTGTGTAGCGTTTGGTGCGGTTGCAGTTGGTATTTGTGTAGCTCAATTTGGGGAAAGATTCAAATTAATTTGAAATACATATATTGAAAAACCGTTTGACCGGTGGACTAGCCCGGCCATAACAAACGCTACAGCTAAAAAAAAATAAAACCGTTTGAACGTGAATTATACAAGTAAGAAAAAAATGGTTCGAACACCAAAAAAAAATCATATAATAAAGTTGATTCGTGGATTATTCATAAAATGAAAAAAAAACCGGAACTGAGTCAAGTTTACCGCCGTCTTAGATAAAAGTTCCAGGTGTTTGAAGTTGTTTTTAAGATTACATAATGTAAATATAGTACATAACGTTAAGATATGCAACGTCTAATAAACTTTGTGAAGTGTTAAAACTTTGACTCCATTCTTCGTAGTATCTTTTTGGCTAACAACCACTAATATAAAAAAATAAGAGAGAATTTTCATATATACTATTTGAAGCGAGTAGAATCGCTGTAAAGTTGAACGGCGACGCCTCCATTGGCAGCGCATTGCGTATCGGTGTGTGCAAAGCGACTGTGTATTTGCGTCAAAAGTGTGTGCTCATGTTAACCACTATTTCTACCTGGATTTACCTGTTTAAAGTAGAAATATGTTCAGTAAAGAAGAAGCGTAAATGTGAAACCAGTTAAAAATAAATAAATTAAGTATCACCGAGTAGCAGAGAGCCAGCCTGGAAACTTAATTATTACGTTCGTTGGTCAATGTATTTGTTGGAATTTTCCTTTTGCTAATGAAAGCAGAATTGAAAAATACTATATGTATGTACCTACTACGTATACGTGCGTACATACATACAAACAAACACTGTAACGACCAAGTGGAGATATCTTGAATATTGAGTTAATCTGCCCCTATCATTGTGTAAATACATAATTTAGTACAAATGAATGTGCGTTGCCGTGTGCCTTATTATATAGAGTTTTTATATTTGTTTATAGCGGCGTTTCCATGAAAATGCAGTCGGCGCATTCAACAACAAAACAAACATCAAAGTGTATAATAGTGAGCAGTGCTAGAGCGATGATGCGACGACGTCAGCGATAGCATGAACCATATATTCTTATGGCTCGTTCATCAGCAATAGTTCAATGAAAAATAAACGTAATTAAGAAAACATTATACAAAAATTGCCTTTGCAACGCCGTCTACTCGGCAATATAAAATAAAAGCGATTAAATAAATGAAGAGGTTTAAAGTAAAAAAGAAAGAAGTGAAAATTGGGAAATAGATTTGAGTGGCCCTAGTGACGGCAGTTTTGCTGATCGTACAAAGAAAATAAAGGTGAATGAATAAAAATACTGGGTGACTCATTCACAGTAAATTGAATTCCTCTTGTTCGCAGTTAGTAAATATCAGGTATAACTTGATATATAACAATAATAGAAGATATTCTATTATTTAAAAGTGCTTTATATACATACATATAAGTCATAACAACAGGTTTTTAATCGTGTTCCCGTCACCGCGGTGTAATGCTACGAAATGTCGCCACAGCACTGCCAATCACAACAACAAACACAAATTTACCACCTAGCACAATGTCGGCCGCAATTCCTACGTTCACGAAAAAATGTTTGTCGAAAACTACACAAATATCAGACGTTAGCGTTTGCGTTAGCACTAATAAATTTGCATGCAGCCGTTTTAGTTTCCGCTGCTTCGAGTCCGTCCATATCCGCTTTACCTACGAGTTCCAGAGATGACCCCTTTTCGGGTTTTTTCACACCCGCCAATACGCAAACTGTCGAAAATAGTTTAATATTACCGCTTACGCGACTACGGAGATCACCTCATCCTGCTCCAGAATCGATTAGTTCTCTCTATTCAGCTTTACCCGCAGCGCGTACTGGCAATTCTGCCATTTATTTCGGCATGTCGCCATCGTCGTCGGCTGCGCATGAAAATAGTGTCAACCAGATTGAACAGTATTCCGATAATCGCAAGCCAGCATTCAAAAACTGTGCCAGCTACAAACCATCTGTGAAGGAAGAGAGACCCGAAAACACTTTTGTTATAATGGTGCAGGCAGTGGATCCGGATTCGGATCAAGAAATTAAATATAGTCTTGTGCAATCGGCTGCTGAAAGATCGAAATTTCATATTGATCCAAAAACTGGTGTTATAGTGACTGCGCACATATTCGATCGCGATGAACCAATATACGAGAAAGCAGTATATGTGACAGTACAGGCAACGGATAACGGGCGGCCGCCATTGGACGATGTGTGCACATTTAAAGTGACGATTGAAGATATCAATGATAATCCTCCAGTCTTCAATAAGGCGCGTTACGATGAATCAATGTCAGAAGATAAACAGGTAAGTTTCAACTTAAAAAGTCCTTTAATTTAAAAATGTTTAGAACAAAACTTAGTTGCCTGTTGCCGCGAAGGTGTTGCGTGTTGAATATGTGGACCCCAGGATTACTGCTATTTAACACCGGACCAACGTGGCAAACCCGGCTTCCATGTTTTGTTCAAAACTGGTGAATATAAGTTTTTACCGAAACATTTTTTTTAAGTTCTGTAGCTTTTACCAACTATCGCAGTTTTGGCAATGAAAATATATTTATTAAAGTACAATAGGATATTGACGATAAAATTTTGGATTTTATTCAAATGGATCCACTGTGGCATTTTCCATCGGGTAAACTGAAAAAAAAACATTTTTTTAATTTTGGCCACCACATATCTCCACAATTTCAAAATATGTAGTACTATCTAAAATAAATCTTTTTTAAATAAACTGATACCTAATTTATTGCAAAAGCATACAAATTGTCGAAGTTAGACAACTTTTCTTAAATACGGCAAAAAGGGGTTTTTCAAAACATTTTAGAAAAATGGGGGTGGCACCGCCCACTTATATGATATGTATATGCGTATCCCAAAAACTACTTGACCGATCCCAACCAAATTTGGAATACACATTGTGCTTAGCCTCATTAGCACCGTCTGGAATATATTTGAAATCGGACAAAACCCACTCCTCCTAAAATATAACTAGCTTTTAGTTATTTGAAATTACCTTTACGTGGGTGGAGCCCACAATGCTAAAAAATCTGAAAGTCCGGTCCATACACAATAGTTGCGTTCCAGATGCTTCACGATTTGCAGGTTTTTACAGGAAGCCGTTCCAGGTGACAACCTTTCATAAGGTTTATTAATAAAGAAAACAAAACCTCTAAAACCTGCAAATCGTGAAGCATCTGGAACGCAATTAATTCATATCTATAAATTCAAGGTTGTATTTAAGAAAAGTCGCCTTACTTCGAAAATTGTTATGAGATTGCAATGGTTGGCTTTCCATTTAGGGTTGCCAGATTTTGAAACGGAGAAAGGAGTACATTTATATTTTCGATAGAAACAAAAGCAGTACATGACATAAGAAAGGAGTACATTTTTTTTTTAAATTCTTTGTGCAGTTTATTGTTACAAATTACCATTAATTAGGTACAAACAAACAGAGATATCTTAGAAATCTTTTTCAAAGCAACAATTTTCACTTGCGTTTTTTCGTTTGAAAAGGGTTAAATATTCATTTGCACGGGACATTTTATATACCCTTGATAACAAAAGAGGTGCCTGCCCCTCTTCCCCGGCAACACAGAAAGGAGAATTCTACTTAGTAAGGGTTATAATCCCTAAGCGCGGCCGGAGGCCGCCTACGCAGAAAGGAGTTAAGTCCAAAATATTTGGATACCGAAGCCGGAAAAAATAATAACTGTCGCACAGGTTTTTTGAAAAATAAAATTGTTCTTTATAGATTTTGTTAAACAAAGTTTTTTTTTTAACTTTGTGAATATTTTACTTAAATTTTATTAATTGGTTTTAAAATTTTAATCCTTATTTGCATTTGCCAGCTTTGGGAGATAAGTACATGCGGCACACATCTCTTTTTCAGGTGTATTTTTTCTTAGATTTTGTATAAAGAAAAAAAAAAACTGTATAGGGTTGGTCGAATGAATCCCCTCCTAGTGGGAGGAAATTAGCCTATGGTTACAGAAGATATGTAATAAAGTAACCGACGAAGACTTGCGTGCCGCTTGCGCTTTTCTCCCAAACCCCCTGGTAAACCCAAATTAAGGTTGAATTTAAAAACTATACAATAACGACTTTTTTACTTGCGCTTATCTCTCAAAGTGTTTATCGCCAGTAAACCCAAATGGGGGTTAAAATTTAAAAACAAATTAATAAAATTGAAGTAAAATCTGCGGATAATTAACAATGAACTAATTTTTTCGCAAAATCTATAAAGGCCAATTTTATTTTTCAAAAAAAACTGTGCAACAGTTATTATTTTACACCCTGTATATGATAAAATATTAATAGCTGGAAAAAGGAGTACAAAAGAAGTACAAAACTAATAAAGGAGTACATTTCCAGATATTTTTTTTTTGGGAGTACATTGCAATAAAAAGGAGTACGTTTACTCCCAAAAGCAGTACGTCTGGCAACTCTATTTCCATTACATCCTTTTTGTTGGGTGTAAAACAAATCAAAATGGCTGTAATCAGTGTTCCAAGATTTGAATTAGAAAAAGCACTAGAACCCAAGAAAAATCGGCATTTTTCTCGAAAAAAGCACCAAATTTTTTATTGGAGGATTTAATGGACTAGTGTTAAAAAGTGAGATTAGGTGATTTAGTGAATTTTTGTCGGGGTAATTGCCCATACTAAACAACGAAATTTAACAAAAGTTTTTTGTCTATAACTTTTGAATCGTTAATAATCCGCGGATTATAATCCGCCCCCGGATTGTTAATACGGGGACCGAAACGCGTCGATTGGTACCCCTCCCGACATTTCCGGACCTTTTTTTTTTAGCAGTTGTTACCCTATACTAGAGAATTAGTAATAAAAATTAATGTTGTTTGCTCGGCGGTCGAATTTATTCTGTTTTCTATAAATTCAAATATTTTCGTCCAAACGACGCGACGTAAACGTTTTTATCCTTATTTTCTAATTTCAGCTGTGTCCAGCTTTGCCGTTTCGGTTGGAATTGCGCTGTTTTAAACAATAATTTTTCTTCGGTTTGCTTATTTTTTATAATTCCTATCAAACGAAAGTAACAACAAAAGTTCAAATATACACTGTAGTCTTTTATGATCTCGTGAACTAAAGGAACGTAAAGAACTTTTCTTTCCGACCGCTTCACACCTGAAATATAGCAAAATTGTATTTCCCTTTTTAAAGTGTCTTTTTTGAACACGTCCACCGGCGCATGGTGGAAAAAATCTTTTTGTGTCGATTATTCCTTTTTAAAAAGGTTCGTTATTCATTTGTTAGGAGATGCTGGTGCTTTTTTAATATTCGTAAAAAATTCAGCCCAAACTAAAGGTCTAAAGGATCGATTCCTCGTCCCAGCAAAATGGACGTTTTTGCAGGCAATGGAAAATTACTGTATGTAATTCTGGCATGATTGAAAGTGCTGCCACATATTTTTTTGGCAAACATATGCTCTTTCGCTTATGATTGTCATTGTGCCATTTCCATTTTTGTAAAGTTCCTTACGAAACTTCCAATTGCTGTAAATTTAACTTCCATTTTTGTTTAAGATTTACAGTTTTGGTGTCTTCAAACTAAATAAAAAAGCACTAAAAAACTCACCAAACTCGAAAATTTTCGCGTTATGAATTAGGAGAAGCACGAAATTTAGTGCGAAAAGCACTAAGTTGGCAACAGTGGCAGTAATGGTGGATAGCAAGAAAGTTTTCACTTGCGGCGCTTTTGTTTACAAAAATCAATACTTCGATAAATTATGAAGTTTTTTTATAAAAAATCGCGCGTTTTTTTTGATATAAAACAGTATTTCAATATAAAATTAAAATTTTCAATAAAAAAACTCTCGACTTTTTTTTTACTATTTTCATCATCTGGCAGCACCAACATCTGTGTTCATTTCCAACACTTTCATATAGTCAATGAAATTTGCAAAAAATGTATACACACATATATACGGTGGCGAGAATGTAATTAGGGAAAATACCCTTTAGCAAGTTTTGGCTACTTTGCTTTGTTTAAAAATGTTTATTATTTTTTATGAAAATATAACTTAAGCACCATCTAAAAAAACATGTAAATCAAAATCTCAAACCTCGTAGAACATTTAAAAAAATATACATACTCAGAATGCTTCGTAGAAATCGAATTAAAATGCTCAATATTTTGATCAAGCTTTTTCGAATTTTGGTAATTTTTTTACAAAATTTGAAATTTTGACTTACATAGTCTTTCACTTTCATAAAAAAAATAATAAACATGTAAATAATCGAAAGGGGAATAACCAAAGAATTCAAAAATGTCTTTTCCCTATTTATATTTTCGCCGCTGTATATACAGCTTATATTTTTCATATCCATTTAAGGGAATTAGTATTATTTTTTATAATTTCACTAAAATCAAGTTAGAATTGTTAAATTAAAAAAAACTTAACAAATCATTACAAAAACATTAAAAAAAGCTGTGACAAGAATGATAGATCAGATTTCAGATTTTTGCGTGGAAAAGTAGCACATTTATGGTTCAAAGTAAATCATAAAAGCATAATTTATGTTGAAAATTCAAGTGTTTACTTTATATTTCTATAATTGTATAAAAATCATGAAATTCAGGCGGGGTATATACCGTTTAGTGATCATTTGCTAAAGATCATCCACTTGTATTTTTTTAAGGTATTTTTCCCTCATAAGCTTTATGCACTTCATATTGTTTTATGGTTAACCATTGAAAATTTTTATTCAGTATGTTCAGTTGCAATCAAAATAATAAAAAAAAAATACATGTAAACCCACGTTTAAAACTTTGCAGAAATTAAAAACAAAATTCAACAAATTTTCATACAAATTTCAAGCTTATTTACTCAGAAGTGTTAAATATTTTTTGAGTTTGCAGTTTTATAGACCATTAAAATTTAGTGTGATAATGTGCAACAATTTATTTTTATTATAAAAAAATTTAAATTAGCATAAACAATTATTTATGATTTTAATTTTTTTCGCTTAAAAATAAATAATATTGAGTTTTATTTTTTCGCTCAATAAAAATAATTAAAAAAAAAAAAAAGAAAATAATTATTATTTGATTTTTAATTTTTTGATTATGATTTGATTTTTATTTTTCCGCTCAGAGATAATAATTAATATCGAGTATTATTTTTCCCCTTAAATACAATGATTATTCATAAAATTTAAAAAGCTATACGGACTGAAATTTTTACCTGAAAATTTTGGGACTTAATTATACCTTTTATTGGGGCACCCTCTGAAAAGGATTTGTATATCGGAAATGAAGCTGGTACAGCTTTTGAGTTTTCTGAATG